CGATCACTTTTGGGTTATTGGACACGTAGTGGACATAACGATCGTTTCAATATTATGTTGTTGTTGTTCTTGTTCTTGTTCTTGTTCTTGTTCTTGTTGTTCTTTGACACGTTTTAAAAAGTCGCTTTTCTCTTCGAATACTGGACCAATTGCTTTGAAATTTTCAGTGGTTAAAGATTAATTTTTTCGCTAGAAGGCTATTACTTTTGTTTATTCTTAAATTTTATATGAATCCTATAAGATATGATATTTCATACAAAATTTCGCGGTATTTATTTTTACTCATGGGAACACTGTTTTACACTTATTTCAAGCGGTTTCGCGATCGATTGTCTTGCTCAGTACTACAGCTACTGTAGGTCGGTACTGGTAAGTTGCCATACAGCACAGGTACCGTAACGCAGTGAAATTGACTTATTCCTTCCGCGGTATTACTAATGCTGCAATGCAAGTTTTATAGCCTATCGTATGCGGAACGGAATATCAGACCTACAGGTTCGGTACCGGTACTGGTAGCTCAGTACGTAAGTACGATACTGGTACTGGTGTCTTACCACAATGAAATTACCGTAACTTATTCTTTCACGGTCCTACCAGTGCAGTAATGCAAGCGTTGTAGCACTTGTAGCCTACTATATTTGTTTATTTTGATGAGAGTCTACTGGAAACAACATAAAATTTGAAAGGGAAGAATTGTTCTGGGATCAATTATCTGTCCTAAAGTGTAAACAACATAAAATTTGCAAGGGAACAACTGTTCTGTGATCAATTACCGTATATGGCCTACAGTGTACAGGTAAGATGCTGCCTGACTGCTAACTCAGTACCGCCTGACACGTTTTTAAAAAGTCGCTTTTCTCTTCGAATACTGGACCAATTGCTTTGAAATTTTTAGTGGTTAAAGATAAAAATTTTCTCCAGAAGGCTATTACTTTTTTTTTCGCTATGACGTCATCAAAATTATGTGACTCTACGTGTCCATATATTTGAGCATAGCTCTCTTGTCTCTCTGAGGTAGACAACAAGTAGGGTTGCCAACCGTCCTTTATTTCAAAGGACAATCTATTATTTAGGCTTTTTGTCCTTGTCATTTTTAGCATTTTGAAAAGATGCTAATTGTCCTTTATTCTTTCCAACGTCGTTCTTACCGTTCTTAAATAATCGCTTCAGTTTATTTATTTGCAAGCTTTTAACTATTCTCTTTAATTTCGCTTTGGTCCGGCTCAAATATTCAAAGAAATAACAATTTTATTAACATTTCAAATATTTCACATCAATTTTCCAAAAATGGCAATACTCCAAGATTTGAGTAAATTCTAGTTAAATAACTGAAAATTCTACGTATAATTTATTGGTCTCTATGACGTCCACAATCCAACAATGCTGTTTTTGTAAATGCTTGTGTAATCATAGTATGTTATCGAATTATCTATAACTAAACCCGGCGAGATATAAATACGCTCGATAGGAAGCTGATATTTGCTGTAGAGCTGTGCGAAGTCTAAGTTATTTAAAGAATCGTTGCTCGAGCTAGTTCTTCTATCTGTGGACCCTAAACAGTTTGGGGCAGTGAGCTTTTAATATACTTTAACTCGGAAGACACGTGTCGCAAATTTTCGGGAAAAAATATAATTTTAAGAAGAATTATAAATTGTGCAACTGCAAAATCAGAGCTTGTTTGGGTCAATGTTAGATAAACCTTAAATGAAAAACACATTAAGATTTTTTTAATATATCTTTTTAACTTCTATACAATTTTTATTTTATTGTTTTATATTGTTCTATCATGCAAGTTAAAAAATAAATGATGGCGGTAATCTATGTCCTTCATTGAAACTTTCCATAGTTGGAAACCCTAACAACAAGGTACAGGTAAAATTTCAAACTACATTTGTGACTTGTATCCTTTGATATTTCGATTTACGTTGAGACTGGGGGCATGAATCTTCATTGTCACACTTCCTCGGGATTAGAGCTCAACCGATATATCGGCTCGATAGTGCGTGTTTGCCGATGTATGATATCGGCAATAAAAGGCCGATGTATATATCGGCTATATATAACAGTTAAAAAACCTAAAAAATGTTCGTAAAAGTTGTTTTTTTTACTGTTGGTTGGGATAATACACTTATGTGGTTTATTGTTTTTATAATTAAATTACACATGAGGGGGCATCAAATTCTTCAGTGCTTAGGGCACCAAAGGGCCTAATCCGCCCCTGGCTATAGTTCTAATGCCAACAGTATTAAATCTACTCTAGACTGGGACGGATTTAACTGGCAGGCTTGTAACGCGGTACCGGAATCATAGAACACAATAAATAAGGTACGATAGTCAGGTCAAATATTGAGTGGCAATCCTAAAGTGCGGAAACCGGAACTACGGGATAGGATAGGGTTCACATATTTATCCCGGGGAGAGGAAAGCCGATAAGACGACCTAATCATGTGGCAAACCACGGCCTCTCGTCCGGTCACCAGTACATATCTTGTATTGGATTAGTTAGCCAGTTATTTGCTTTCGGAAGCATGGACTTGAAATGCGCTAATATGCGAGAACGGCGGGAAAACGCCAATACTAAAATACGAGTATGACGGATACTACGGGAAATTTTCAAAGAGTGCGAAATTTCACAAAAAAGCGGAAATGACGGTAAATCGCTCCAAGGAACGGGAAATTTACATTTTAGAATATGTGTAGTGAAAATTGCATCAGAAAGTGAGAGCAACGGAAATATTCACTTGGGTGAAATTTCACTAATGAGCGGGAACTACGGGAAAAGTGGGAACGACGGGAGTCGTGATACGGAACCGGGAATATACATTTTTAGACTATGTGTAGGGTAAATTGCACTAAAAACTGAGAGCAATGGTAAATATATACACTTGGGCGTGAAAGTACGGGAAATTGCACTAAAAAGCGGGAACGACGGGAATTTGCTCTCCGGAACGGGAAATATGCATTATAGAGTATTTATAGGAGAAATTGCACTAGAAAACGAGAGCAAAAAGAAATATGCACTTGGTGTGTATGTACGGAAAATTGTACTAAAACGCGGGAACTAGGGGAAATTTCATTAAAATGCGGGAAATTTCGCTCTATGGAACCGCAAATGTACATTTTAGAGCAGGGTTTCCCAAACTGGGGTACGACTACATAGGGGTTCTGCAGCGATATCAAGAGTCTAAAATATATATATTTTAACGTAGCCTGTATCCTCTGTTACATAGAAATTCGTAATCGGGATAAAGACGGTCCATGCTTTTAGCGTCTGTGAGGTAGAGCTCCGTCACAGAGCTATGGTCGGTAATAATCGACTGTATGCGTTATTGAGTTATTGATACTTCGCAAAGGTCTTTTAACCCCCATTGCTGCAATAAAGAGGCGTGAAACCCAGTTAATTGTGTGAGACTATCCACGTTTACACAATAAAATTAGTTCCACGTGTTCAACTCGTACCGACAGTCCGGATATTGAGGTGCAAATAAATCATAATTTTATCGCATTGCCGTTAGCTCACCAATATTTAACGTCAGTATGTATGGATTCAGACTTTCATGAGTTTTATTCCGTCGAAATATATGTAAAACTGTATAGAATCGTTGCCGTCGGGCCTACGAGTTTTCTTGTCACAAATTAATCCGTCACATTAATGTCATTTGTATTGTTGTGTTCTAAATCCAGATGAAAACTTATCCTTCCTCGTTGGTTAGGCAGATAAATTGATATGCATTGGATGGGAGTTCTTAAAAAATATTATTCACAAACAGGGGTCCGTGGCCCAAAAAGTTTGGGAAACTCTGTTTTGGAGTATGGGACATTGCACTAAAAAGTGAGAGCAACGGGAAGTGAAACTACTAAAAAATTGCACTAAAAGCGGAATGACGGAAACCACGGGAAATTTCACTGAAAAGCGAGAACGAATGGAAATCGCTCTATGGAACGGCAAATATACATTTTAGAGTATGTGTAGAGAAAATTGCACCAAAACGTGACAGCAACGGGATATATACAAGTGGATATGAAAGTACGGAAAATTCACTAAGAAGCGGTAACGACGGGAAATCGCTCTACGGAACGAGAAATATATATATTTTAGACTACGTGTAGGGAAAATTGCACTAGCACTGAAAAGTGAGAACAACGGAAAATATAGCCTACATTTGGGTTTCGAAAAATCGCAGGTTGTCACCACAAGTTGTATGTCGCGATAATTTATTTTATTAGTTTTTTGCCATATTCATATTTTTGCCCCCGGGACCGGAAAAGCTCGACATAATTCGATTATCTTACTAAAATTTTCAATTATCACAAAACTGCCAATATTCGAACCAAAAAAAGTTTAAAAAATCGCAGGCTTCCACCAATTTTTTTTTATTGCTATAAGCTTACATTTCAGTTTTCTATTCAATGGTGAAATGAAATTTTTGTCTCCATGACTGAAAAATATCGAAATATCTCGTAAATAAATGCAATTTTGACAAAATTGTAAATATTCGAAATGCAAAAAATTCGATAATTCGCTGAATATTTCTACAATTTTTCACAGTAGTAAGATTGGTTGGTATCATATTTTATGTTAGCTGTGAATTCTACGATAAATATTGTAAAAATAAAAATTTAATAAGATTTTGAAATTCTAATCTTTATTGTACGATTCCAGACACACCCTGGTATGACATCCGGTACAATTCTTTGAACATTTGTCCGGAATTTTGCTAGCGATGGCCGCTACTGTTAATGAAAAATCTTAACAACCATGGAAAAAAAGTGTTCTTGTTGTTACCGACCGTTGCGCGCCCCTACCCGCGAATAAGCGCGATACCGCCAGTTGCACCAATAAATTAAAAATGTTGCTAGCTTCCAATAAGTATTTCAATGTTACATATTGTTATTTTTTTATTTACGAGATCAAAAATTGATGTGTTTGATCGTAGTAGTATATATTTACGGTTTGATTGAGTCTTTGACCCAAATTTTTCGACCGCTGCAAATAAAATACCGCAACATCAATATCAACACTAATCACCCAGGCGGAACGGTTTATTGTGTATTTTCTGATTTCCTTTACGGTAATTGCAGAATTCGGCAAGTCGTTTGCTGTTCAGCTGTTTGATTTTTCTGTGGTCGGCATACAGGCATACGGTAAGTCTTCTGAAGCATGATTTGCTAGACTCTTCTAGCGGTTTAGCTCAAATAAGTCTCCACACTATCAGCTACGGTATCGGTACGTAATCAATCAAACTGCATTCCGGTTTGTTCCAGGGAGATCAATTCACGAAAATCTTCTTTCCACAGTTTTAATGTATTCGAGAAGATATACTTTGTGCAAATACTGAAATAAGGAAAAATTTACCATTAATTGTTTTATCAATAGATCAACAAAAAGCTTAGGCTATCACATGACAGACAGAAATATACTAGTTGAATTATTAGGAAAAATCTGGATTTGGAAAAAATCTTATAAATTGGATAGTTAATTTATATAAAAATGCTTCTTCAAAAATAAATGTGAATGGATATTTAGCAGAAAAAAATTTGGATGCAAACAGGTGTGCAAGTGCAGTTTCAAGTATTTTGTGGCGTCTAGACTGCTAGAGCTCCGCAGGCAAAACAATAGACTGCTAGAGCTCCGCAGGCAAAACAATAGACTGCTAGAGCTCCGCAGGCAAAACCATGGCGGGATTTCCAAACCATGGCCGCTAACCTATGACCAAACCCACGGCGACTGACATTTCAGCTGCCATAAACCAATAGCGAGCCGCCGTGGTTACGGCAGCAAATCGAATACCACCAATTTTGCTGCTGTAACCACGACATGTCGGCTGTCTGTAATAGTAGGGCTGCCCCTGATGGTGATAAAGATTGGGTAAGTCATTTTTTTCGAATCGAATAGTTCGAATATTTTTTACGAATACCGAATAGTCGAATAACGAATATTTTTTGTAAATACAACGGGGGTCCGTCGGAGGTGATACTCTCTTCAAAAATTAGAAGAAACTTTAAAAATGTTGGTTTTATTTTCTCTAAATCAAAAATTTTTCACAACGTTGTGCGACGTTAACGATGATAATTATTTTATTTTTGTACACACACGGAATTGCGAATCCGGCGATAGTTTAATTATATTATACGTTCATCGGCGACGAGTTTCTGAGGACAGCGCAAATATTTTGATGGAAAAGCGGCAATATAAAATACTGAAAATAAATCTTTAAAAAATATGATTTCCCAGTTTTTTTTTTATGCGAATATTGATTCAGATAATCATTAGTTAAACAAATCTTTCAATCCGACTCGTCCATCTGAAAGCTCACAGATACCCGTATTTTCCCGAAATTACGCCTATATCGCGAATAGGCCGACTCCTCAAAAGCGGCCCTAAAACAATGATTTTATAAAAAATCGTACATAAGCCAGTCCTACGAATCGTTACACGCCGGACGCCTCAAGAAAAACGTAGAAAGAGAACAAAATTACTGTAACGCAAACATTCTCACGTTTATCGTTTCTGCATGTTAGCGAGGGCCGTAGGTGGATTATTACCCGTAACTCTTACTTGTTAATTTATGTTAATAAAGTCTATATTGCTTTTGAATGCGTTGTGATTGTGTCGGGAGTTTAAAATAGAGTTCCTGAATCAGCATAAAACAATTTTCTTTGATCGTCACAAAGGCGATTAATTTCGTTCCTTGTCCGTTTCAAGGAAAGAAATAACGCTGTATTAACACATTCCTATAAATCGCTACGAATCTTAACACGCCAGACGCCTTAAGAAAGGCGCAGAAAGAAAACAAAATTGCTGTAACACAAATATTTCTCACGTTTATCATTTCTGTTTGTTAGCGACGGCCGTAGATTCTTACTTGTAAATTCATGTTAATAAAGTCTATATTGCTTTTCATGCGTCGTGATTTGTATTAATGGAAGGGATTGTTGTCGGGAGTTTAAGAGAGTCCCTGAGTCGGCATAAAACAATTTCCTTTGATCATCCGCAACGCGGTTAATTTTGCTAAAAGTCCTTATCACCGCCCCTTAACGGATAACATATCGTAAAGGTGATTAAAAGCAGCGCGCCGTTAATTGCCTCTACGGCGATAGCGCACCAAATAATAACGTTTTCACCACGAAACAACTGGCCTTAAATCGACACTGTTGCTGTTATGTAAAAGAAACACAAGCGAAAACTAACAATCACAGCCTGTACAAGCGTCACGTGTTAAACAACCAATCACAGACTGTACAAGCCATCAGCTGTATGATAAGACAATCCACTTTCACAAGCGATTGTGTGTATGCGTGCACGCTTTTTATTGTGAAAACTTGGTATGGTTTGAAGCTTTTGGAATTACCGGCAAGTCAGCATAATATCATTTCGTTGCGTGATCAATTCTGATGCACGAATGAGCCGATTTTTTGGTGCAATCTGAGTTATGCGCGAATAAGACTGTCCCTTAGTTTGGCAACTTTTTTTTGAGTTTTAAACTCGGCCTATTCGCGAGCATATACGGTAATTCTGTTGAAACACAGCTCTAAATATCAATCTGTTCTAGCCGTCTTTGGATGACTTTTTGTCCAACCGTATCAGGCCTAACCATGATTGTTACTAACGAAATTATAAATGGGTAATTATTTTCCAAGTGTCATTCCTGTACTATTCAAACTACAATTAACTAGAATTCAAATGAATTTTTTTTTAAATTAATCATTGGAACCAAATTTGACTTTACAATTATTATAATATTTGTCATTTATTTATAGTCTTTATTTGAAAAGCAAATTATAATTGAAAAGTGGCACATTGGCTATGGAATACAATTTGGCAAAAACGGAGAAGCCAATTAGTTTCAAATTATCAAATGATGGACTTACATGTGCAAAAAATCTAATGCAATCAGTGGAACTTCCAGAAGATATAGTGAAGATATTAAAATCAGCCATTGATATTGCTACGATAGATTTGCTGGAGCTTATCAAAGTCTTTGAGTGGCGTTGCCTTCAACATGATAATAACAAAAATGATACAGAAGTCCCGAATTTGTTTCCACTACTTAGAGATGCTTGTATGTTCATACCGAACTTGCCAGAAAAAGAACCTAATCCTGAACTTCAAAAGAGGCTTAAAAAATTGTCTGCACAACAAAAACATAGAGATTATAATAAAATGGTGGAAAATGTATCCAGAAAACCTTGTATTGCAAAGCTAAAACGAACTGGATCCTCACTTATAAGTGGTCTTAATTTTGCTTTAACCCTTTTTGCTTCATGTGGTGCAACAATGTACCTGCTACAGAGTTACGTACCTGACCTGGCTTTTCGTGCAGGCATTGGTTTAGTGATTGGTACTGTTATATTAGTAATTGAAATTTATCTTGCTGCTAAAGAGATTGAGAAACAAACTGAAATTGGTAAAAAACAATGATTTACAATGTGAATTGGGTATCGCTATAAATGAATATTCCAAAATAATATAGCAACATTTCATATCGAGTAATGACTTGGCTGATAATGGTGAAAATACTGCCATTAGCCCCATTTTTTCAACTGATGGACCACGGTCTGAATTAGGACCTCTCAAATATTGGCTTCAGCCCCCGCACTTGTTTCTATATTTTGAAAACCCCGTTATCTTTAGATATTCGGAGGTATTAAATGACTTTTATTTATATTTTTAGAAGTTATTAAATTATACTAATTGCATCCAACTTGATAAGAAAAGAAATGTGACGCCGTAATTAACTTGTAGAATAGCGCTGTCTTGATTAGTGAATATCACAAGCTATAAACTACAACGAGCATTATGAAAGTTTAATTTTTAGAGGTTACTCAGTTATCCACGAATCGCTTTTCTGTTATTCTATAGCCCAGTGGTTCTTAAACTGGGGGGAGAGGTCACATGATGCCCAGGACCAGGGATGGCCAATTCTAATAAAGTATTCGAAAATCTCGTTATTCGAATATCGGAATTAGCGTTCTTAGTAAGAATATCGGATATTTATGTGACGTCACACATTTTCGACGTTGCTTTCAAGACGTTTCCGTTGAATGAAAACATTCACGATAGAAACTTGCACGCGATTATTTTTATCAGCGTGTCATCATGTTATTCTGGTCGTAAACGCTTTTATGATTGTGTTATTTTCTCCAAAACGAAGAATTTCCACAAATTTATTCCACGATAACGAAGACAATTATTTTATTTTTGTACTCGCACGGAATTGTGCATCCGGTGAATAGGATAGGATTTACATATTTATCCCGGGGGAGAGGTGATGGTTCGCCATATGGAGCATGATTTGCTTTTTAAGATTTTTAGTGGTTTAGGTTGAATAAGTCTCCAATCAAGCAGCTAATCAGAACTGGGTTAATGCTATTATTGGTAAAGTCAGATATTTTTAAAAGGCACACCGGTAATTATGTGGTTTATCATTCTTAGGAATAAAATTATTGAGGCAAAAATCTGAGGTTTCAATTTTATGTTGATACTTTAGTCCATAACTTTCACTATACCAATATTCCAGTTATAAGCCAAATGATGAGATTGTATGATTCGGACCTATACATGTCAGTTCTTAATTACGTAGAGACTGGTTCAGTGTGGAAGTGATAAACATGCCATGATAAAATTGTATTCACAGTTGTCAAAAATGAATCGAATATCAAAGTATTTGAATACTTATTTAGCTAACTTTGGAATAATTCTGAACAATGGTCACTTTTCATCATCAGCAAAGTGTTTCGTTTTCGAGCGAAGTCTTCAAACGTTCTGTCACATGTTTTTATGCTAATGAAATAAAATTGACACTTTGATTGTTTGTTATCTTCTATGCGAATGTGTGAAAATATCATTTTTATGTGTCGCAATGCCCCTAAGACAAAATATATTTGTTTACTGGGAATTTTATTGGCTCTGGTCTTTTGCTTGCAATTGAAACACATTTATTCAAGCCTAATCCTATGCTACTGCAATTCATTCTCTTATGTGAGGTATCCAACCACAAATTTTTAATTACCAGATTGGAGATAACAGTTATTCCATTGTTTATTGTACGCAAACTCCATCATACACTATGAAAAGGTTTTATTTCTTGATTTTTATTTTAGAATATACTCAATATTTCATATTCCCTGATTATATCCAAGTCTGTGCATGAATAATGATGCTACGAGTGAGTTTTTTTTCAAAATGAGTTCTCTAGTATTCAGCAAACATTCTGAAATCATGTCTTCACTTGTGGAATAGTAAATAGGCCTAAATACTAATTTCAGACTCGATTACCATCCTTGTACATTTACAGAAATTGAATTTTATAGGCTAGTATAAAAAAGATAAAATTAATTGAGTGCTGTAATATTTTATTCAAAAGTCAAATGAGCATTTAGTTTGAAGGTCATATATCACAATTCAAACTTGAAAATTGCTAAATTTCCCCTAAAATCAAGAATTCGCTATACCAAATATAAAAAGTTTTGATTGTATTCGAATATTTTATTTCTTTCAGACATCTCTAACGTTACAATTGAATTCGAATCATTGGATTCATCATTCAATTGATCTGGCTATTATAAAAATATTCTCATTATAGGTCATCTGCATCATGACATAAAATAATTTATTGTGGCATTTTTTAAATCAACCTACCGGTAGTTAGTAATGTACTATTTAGTGACAATCTTGTCTGCCTTCTGAGGATAATGCCAAATATAATTTTTAGTTACCGTAATTTCAATCTTTCAAATTTATTCACGTATTTTAATCATTTTTTATCAACTTAATGCTTCCAAATTGAAAACAAACATGTACTGGTGTGTCATCGATTAATAAATGTGCATATATTACAGATCTTTTATCCCTGTCAAAATTGTATGTTAAATCATATTTCCGATGTGTCCTGTTTGTATTATAAAAGGTAAATGCATAGTGAGTTTGAAAATTTTAGGCAATTCTAAAAAAAAATTTCGAATATTGTTCTGTTTTTGTTTTCTTCAGATTTATTGTCTATAGCCATAATTCAAATGAATTCTGTGAAGTTAAAAGAAATAGGAGATCTTGCAAACAAAAAAGAAAAAGAATGGAAACACTTGACATCACTTCAATTGTCCTCATTACAAACAGCTATGGTACAAAAAGCAAATGAACACAAAGAATTATGTGGAAAATTTACAAAATTAAAAGAAGATTTCAAATACAATTTAAAGGTATTATGAATTTTAAATTCTCAATGACTTATTTGATAATTACTGATAATAACCCTAAATGCTTTTTGGTAGCCTTGTCATTTTAATGAGTTTTTTTTAATTATGAGATACGGTAATTATTATTTGAATAAATCGTTTCGCGTAAAACATAACCATCCAAGTTAAAATTGAAAAAATCCCTTTCAATGTTTTGAATGTTCAGAAAATTTATTCTCCATAAATTCAAATCAGCAAAATTGTCTAAATGGATATAGGGCAGGTGTCATCATTGATGTATAGTATCAGGAAACATTTCATAGCCCTATGGATCAGTTGCTCTGAACAATGCTTTAGATCAGGGATGTCAGACTAGCATGCTTGGAATTTTGCTGAGGACTACATGTAATTTTTAATTTATATAATATATGCCTATATATATACATAGGCTACTTTGTTTTTGTTAAGTGTAGTTTGCGGCATAATTTATGAGCCAGATAATTTTAAATATTAAAAAACATTTACATGCTAATTTTTTGCAGTTATCATGAAAAAAAAAAGTAAAGTAATTTCCTAAAAGAGTATCGACAATACTCTGTATTCGTTGAAGTATTCAAATTATTCGAAAAAAATATGCAATAAAAAATCCACTCGATTAACATTAGATTACGACAAGTGATAGTTTCACAATTCGTGCACATTAGCCACCGGTACATGCAAGCTTGTTTTTATGCATATAAACTGTTATAACACCACTGACATCCGCGAGTTGTAGTTAACTCTCAAAATTAATTTTTACTATTTACAATAATGTTTAAATTACGGTAGCTGAGATTAAACCGGTCTAGCCAATATTTGTGAGCCCTGATGAAGATATGAACTTTTAAACTTGAATCAAGCCGTTTGAAATATTTCATTTTTGTGCTGACTACTCGCCCCTGTAGCATTTCTGTGGTCTCCCTAAATAACGCTTAAATAGCCTACCGGACTGTTTCTACTGAAAAAATTATAAAAGATTATTGTGATTTAATTTAACATGAAAAAGTCGTTTGGTTGATGAGCTGCATTTATTCTCAGGCTGGGTCAGGATGATGATTGTGAAATTGTATAAAACTGGGTTATAACTCAAATCTTACTATAATACTTCCTATAGCCTAACTGTTATGTTTTATAGCTGCTTCATGATCGGGATAAAGAACTGAAAACATATGATGAATCATTTACGAAAACAAAGGTTTGCTCTTAATTTATGACCTTACCTTCTCAAAGACTGTTCTTCGATTTCTCTGAGACATTGTGATAATTTACATATCCTAATTTACTTCTATGCTGAAAGTGTTTTTACTTTGAATTTATGTAATTGCTCTTATCTAGATGTCCTCTGAGAGTGTGGATTCGAAATCCATTACATCTTGTGTCGGGCATTATCTACTGACTTCTCTATTTCAGCCATAAATTCATATGGTATATATCTTATGTTATAGAACTCGTTCCTACTCTTTTACCAGTGGTGATAGAGGCGAACTTCATCATTTTGCTTTGAGCTATACTACAAACCAAGCAATGGGCAAACATTATTTTCTATTTCCAGACTTTAGAAGTTTCTCATATGTCAGCAATCAGTGACTTGAAAATAAAGATTGCAAATCTGGCAGAATCGCTTGAACGAGAACAACAAACGAGGTGTGAAATGCAGCGACATTACAGGCAAAGACTCATAGACAAGCAAGCTGAATTGGAAGCTTTCAAGTCAACTAAGGTAAAATAAAAGTATATAAATTTTATATTTTTCGAATAGAAGAGTAAATCTTTTTCTCCTGTTGTCAATTTGTATTGGGTATACAAATTGCTAGACATAGCAATGATTCTGGTGCATAAGCACGTTAGCGGGGGGTTACAGAAACCGTCCTTCGTCAGCATGGAATTCAGCATTCTTTTTAATAAGTTCAGGGCTGTGCTTGCTTGCTTGCTTCCTGACAGATAGCCTGGCTTGACTAGGGACAGACAAACGGTTGTTGAACTGAGCTTTTATTATCAGTAACAAAGCATATAATCCTAACTGCAGTAATCTACTGTTTTATCTGTAAATTGCAGGTTAATAGTTAAAGCAGATTGTTCAGTCTACAAGGCTAGCCTAGTACCGGTACGGGCAGACGCGACCCGGTGGAGGGGAGCAAAGGTCAAGGCATGGCACAAGTGCCATAGGGTTGTGGCACTGGAAGGATACATGTTGGCAAAGAAAATTCTTGCGCGATGGTCGACAAAGATATTGATTCGATGTAAAGCCCGTACTGAAGTCAGTATACAGTCCTTCCCAGCTCTCCAGCCTCTTTCTGCCACTCTTCGGGTGTTTCATGGAAGGGAATTGAGTGCCGTGAGAGATAATCTGCTGGATTGTGCTTGCCTGGCTGCCATAGAACTTCGTACAGTATGTCTTGATGTCTCATTTTGATTCTGCCTGTTCTGATTGAGCCTTTGCGCAAATTGCTAAAAATGCTGACCAGTGGCTTATGGTCTGTGATGATTTTCACTGGAGGACCTCTAGCGATATTGTTGCGGAATCGTCGCAAAGCAAAATCAACAGCCAGTGCTTCGGTATCGAGTTGAGGGTAGTGTTGTTCTTCCGGCTTAGTTGCCCGGCTTATGAATGCTACTGCTTTGGATTCAAGGATGCTTTTTCCTTGGGCGAGTATAGCTGAGATGCCAGTTGTGTGGGCGTCCACGAATACGAAGGTTGAGGTCATTTATGTCAAAATATCTTAGCTCTGTGTCTGCTTGCAAAGATTGTTTAAGAGTTTTGAATTCTTTGTTGCATTGTGATGACCACCTGGATTCTTTGTCTTTTGTTTGCGAGGCTGCGCAGATGTGTGGTCTTGCTTGACAAGTGTGGAATGAAGTCACCAAATGATTGTATGAAGCATGGGAAGGACATGACTTCATCTTTTGACTGGGGTTTTTTGTTGCTTTTTAAGTGACTCCACCTTGACTGGGCCTGGCCGAATCCCGTTTTTTGTAACGATCTTGCCCCCAGAATGGGGTTTCTGGTTTGCGAAAAATGCATTTGTCTGGGTTGAGTGTTAGGCTTGCAAGTAATTGACAAAAATCAATTCCGTAATTACGGCCAAATCGATTACGTAATGACCCCGTAATTGCGATATTTTTTCACACATTCAAACCTATCATAAAAACCTATTGAATCCACTTCTTTTTCGAATGGGACATCGAAGTTTGGTTTTCATAATCCTGGCAGTATTACACGCCGGCGACAGATGTTAAAGACAAATATCAGGGAGTGAATTCAAATTAATTTTATTCTGATTTTTATCGTAACTCGCGGTTGCTTCTTCTTAAGTCAAAATTAAAACATTACTTCTCTGAAATGCCACGGCGATCTGTGGACATAAAAGTATGAGATAAACTGCCGGGTGTATTTCATTTTAATACGTATTTTTGGAATCTTGCGAACTCGTTATCGCCGTTAGAAAAATCTCAATAACTGATATAAAATCCCGTAGAGTACAATTTCATTTCGTACAATAAAAATACATATAAAGTATATCGTTTAATCAAAAATACATATTCATCGTCGCGATTAGGCCACTTGTTAAAAGAGCCGACTTTTACAATGAATAATGAGTTTTCTGTTGTGCAAAGTAATCAATTTGTGACCGATAAGGGCATATTTAAAATGTCTTGCTTTATTATTGTCTTCAATTTAACCAGCGGTTGAGTCGACAAAATAAAATCTTCACAATTTTAAAATACCACCGCAATCTGCGAACATAAAGTGTGGTAAACTGCTCAAACATATAAAGCTTTGATTTCCTTATTTTCAGGACTTGTAACATCAAAAAATCCATAAATGTGCTGTAATATCTCAGATTAAAATTTATTTTAGCACAATAATTTTGATTGAATATACATTTGATTGATTATCTTATATATATCATCACAACCCGGGGAAAATTGTCCCGTTTCAAACCTTTTATAATGTTGAAAAAATAAATTTCGACGGCAATTTAAAGTAATGGATAATATGGCCACAATTAACAGTGCTTCGATTTTAGTGACGATATGTTTTCTAAACGCCGACCAAACATAATGTGTGCGAGAGGCAAACGAAATTTTGCGATTTTCAATGTCCAAAAAGGCGTTTTTAAACTGTCGCAGGCCTCAATAAAACTCATATTGTTTAAAGTTTTCAGTATTGTATATTGCGGCTTTTCAATCAAAAAATTTGCGTTGTTCTCAGAAACTCGCCGCCGATGAACGTATATTAATTAAACTATTGGCTGATTCGCAATTCCGTGTGTGTACAAAAATAAAATAGTTATCATCGTTAACGTCGCACAACAATGTGAAAAATTTTTGATTTAGAGAAAATAAAACCAACATAAAGTTGTTTACGGCCTAAATACCATGTCACACTGATAATAACAATCGGCGATTATAGCAAAATGCTATCGCACGCGTTATTGGCGACTTTTACAGTTTTAAAAAATTTTCAAAGGCACGGGTATACCTAATATATAAAACTTCGATGTCCGCCGACCCGCAAGAATTAATACTTTCAAAAAAATGAATCGGGCGGGAATACAGATTACGAACTTTAGGATCGCGGCGACAAAAACAATTAGCGATTTTAGAGAATTTAACCAGTGAATAAAAAACACTTTGTTGCCGACTTCTCAAAGTTCTAATTTTCGAAGGGAGTATCGACCTCCGACGTACCCCCGTTGTATTTAAAAAAAACTTGGTTATTCGACTATTCGGTATTCGTAAAAAATATTCGAACTATTCGATTCGAAAAAAATATTCGATTTTGCCCGCCCTTAATTGTAATTGATGTAATTAATCACAGTTTTTCATTCAATTGAAATTCTAATGTAATTGAGGCATTTTCATTCTGTGTGATTGTAATTGTAATTTGCTAAAATTTTTGGCTCAATTACATTTTCAATTACACCCGGGGTCACCAAACTACCTTTTATCTGGCCCGCAATAACACGAAAAAGGGCGAAATATTTTTCCAGGGGGTGTTTTCGAGAATCGCCTTTCTTTTTTATTTTGTAACATTAGCCAAACAGCAAGATGCGAAAAAGTGGCGTAACAATATGCTTTTCGCATACGTTAAGACACTCGGACAGATTTTCAGTCGTGGTTGTAAACAATACCTCATTTCGCGATTTTGAATGCTATTCGTTAGTTTTTAGTTGTAATCAAGTAGTAATAGTAGTAGTAGTAGTAATCAAAAATTAGTCTAGAAATAGCTGTGATAAAATAAGCTGAATCCATGGGAACACTGTCTGGTTTGATTCTGTAAATTCTTGCTACGCGAAACTCGGAATTTTTTTGAGGATACCGGTAGCGTCAAGGGTAAATACTGCTCTGTGTAGCGTGTCCATATATTTAAGCGTTGCTCTGTTGTTATTGTAAATGTAATTGTAATTTGATATTTTTTTCACAGAGTAATTGTAATGTAATTGAAATATTTAAGGGAGTGATTGTAATTTAACTGAATTAATGTAATTGTCTGATGTAACTCTGATGTACACCCTTGATGTTAGCGAAGATTTGAGTCAGTGCTTTAGTTAATTCGTCCGATGCCGGTTTAGCTCCCATTGTTAGTTTTCTGTATCGCATTAGACGCTGTTTAGCACCGACTTACATTGGACTCTGTGTATGCGTCTCATTCTGCGCACTCCTTCTTTTGACCTGGGTGGACTGCTTTCTTCCTCTGTATCATTCTTAGAGGAGCTGTCTGTTTCTGAATGTGACTCTGTGGAATTAGTTCTTGGCTTCACCCTGTGTGCTCTTGCTGCTGGTTTCCCTCTACATATCTTTGACCCTTTGAAGTGGCCTTTTCTACCATAAGCGAATGTCTCACGAAGTGAGACATTCGTAAAACATGGAGAGTTTCAGTTTTAGAATAGTTTCTGCAGTATGGGCCATATACTGAAGTCCAGGAATGATCAATGCCATATAATTCACTATTTCGAATACATTCTGAATTATTTAATTGAATATGAAATATTGAATATATATACTTTATTTACACAATACCAATCCATTCAATTTTAATAGAGCATTTTTTATTTCCGACAGTAACTCAGGAGGTTAGTAAAGTTGAGTGCCTGCCACCTGGCATTAGGAGAATGCGACATATCTTTTCCTCGCAAAATGAACACGAGAGAAATATAGGGTAACCAGATAGGCCAAGGGTGGAGTCATTCACGCACGATCGGTGCTGTGTGTACTTTGTATTGCCAAGGGATTCAATTTTCCACAAATTAGCCGCAAAACAATTAGAAAAATGGGTGTCTGGATTGAACAACCCAAGTCTTCTCTTTCGAAGGTGTAGAGAGTTTTTTCAAGTAACTATGATATTTAAGAGGTAAGGTTAAAACTAGGGCACTTAACTTGTTAATAAAATTTACCATGGCACTTCCATGTATTTTTTTAACCTTTGCACTCATAATTTCCTTACAGTGAACACTGGTCCTCATCAGGTTCTGTGATTTGAAGACTTCTGTATTTACAAATATTCATACTAGCTTGGTCACTAGCTAAATGTTCTGGCTTTAAATAGAACTTGTCATTTAAAATTTCATCATCTTGTTTACAATGACCAGACTTCAGTGCCATCTTCTTAGCTTTTTTTTCATTTCAACTTGAATGAAATCAGGGAGTGTCAGGGTAAAGTACCTGATGTTCATCATCACATCGCTTTTCTACCCTTGAAATCACCCGTAACTCTCTGTGACAGTAGTCGTCACATTGTTATTTCTATTAAGAGTTCTATTAGGGCGGAGAATGAATCAATTTCACATTCTTCTTTGAAATTTTCTTATTAATGAGCTGCTTGAGTCATTGCTGGCATGTGAACGCTGGAACTTTATCTTTTCAGACTTATTGCAAATATGGATTACTGCCAAACATAAATTGAGAGAAGAAATGGAATACCGTTATACCGGTATATATTTTCGACTAACTCATATGTGATGTGTTTGCCTACACACTACATGTTATTGAATTGTGTGTATTTTTTCCTTTTTCAGGATGCGGAGGTTGAAGAAACTTTATCACAAATGGCCCAAATGAATTCTCAGCATGAAAGATTTGAGTCACAACTTAGATCAGAAATTATAGCACTGAAATTTGAATTTACCTCTGAACTTGACAATGCTTTGCTCAAAAAAGAAAAAGAAAATAGGGAAAACGATGATAAATTTCAAGCAGAAACATTGTCACATCAATTAAAGGTAATCTAATAAGGATAATCATGTAAATTTGACTTTTATGGTGTATGTGTTGGCCCCGATAAATTATTGAGGAAGACTGTGATGATCTTTGATGCGATTGTGTATAGTGAATGTGCTGGACTGTAATCTGATGGTTTGCATTGCCGCATGTTGTTTATGACTTACCGTACCTATCATGCATGTCCATGATCTGGAATGATCAACTAGTCTTCACATATAAAACTTGGACTGGTGATGTGTTAAGAAGAAGTTGGGCTTTCATATATGCTTAAGTAGTAGGGCCATTCCAAGCAACTGTTGAATTTTATCAATTTTTCAAAAGTGTAGTGAAAGTACCGGTACTTGTTTTGTATTCTTTACATCAAAAGACACTTTGATTGGACTACATTCATTTCACTGAAAAAGTTAAAATTTCACCCAGGTTTGTTGATCTACGGAAAAGCCCAGTAGTTTGTATGAAACAGTATTTACCGTATTTATTCGATTATAACGCGCAAAATTTTGAACTGAATTTTAGGCAAAAATCAATGCTGCGCGTTATACACGAGGTCTGAGAAATGCGGTATTGGAAATGTGGTTTTAAACATCTGAAACGTGCGTGCGCTCGCGCATGCACATTCCAATGCAGGACGATTTCGTGCAAGCACACGCACATGCGACAGCTCAGCGTGCGTTTGACATTCGTGCAAGCGTTCGATTTCGTGCAAGCACATGCGACAGCTCAGCATGTGTTTGACATTCCCGCTGCGTTGAGAATATTTATTTGCCATTATCGTACTGTACTGTAGATACCCATTATATATTACCCATTAGCTATTATGGCAAGACAAAAACGTTCTGCATATAGGGCTGCATTCAAACTGGAGGTTGTTGATTATGCGGAAACTCAGTTTTTTAAGGACGGGCATTAGCAATAGTATGGATGGTACAGAAGACGACTTGCTGTGGGATTCAAAATCAGGGCCAGAAGAAGAGGTTGAAAGTGATGTTCCCGCCGATTGGGACACTGATTTAAACATAACCCAAACAGAAATCGAACAGTTGTTGTTTTTTGTTCATGCTGTGAGTTGTTACCTTATGTGCTTACCAGTAGTTAGTAGAGAAAAAATAAAAAAAAGAATTTTATACCAATTTTCATTCAAAATTTAAAGGTGCGCGTTATACACGAGTGCGCGTTATAATTGAATAAATACGGTACATTTTATAATTAGACACAATTTTTTACGGCTTAGTCGGCTGATATTGGTAAGCTAAATTTTGTCACTCTATATCAGAAGTATCCTTTCAAACAAGCGTCAAGTCTTGTACTACCATGGACATAATGATTAATTTTTATTTTCGCTTGAAACTGTACAATCATTGAGATGAAAGAAAATGTTATTCTTATTATGCAATTGCTGTCAACGAAACACTGAAATACTTAAACAAGCAAGTGCACTACCCAATTTTTCATCTGCTAATAAAGGAGTGTTAAAACTGAAAATCGTGTTATTTACAAGTACTAGAAGTCGATGCTGATTTGAATCCTTCATGTCGGCTGTGAATTATTGCCCCGTCTCAAGTACGATAAAATAATTGTAAAATATTTTCGAGCAAAACATCCCTGGCGACGACATTGAGAATGTGTGCACTATTGAACGAAAATTTGATATACTCATCCATTCTATTTGGACATCTATGGCTAACACTTGCACAACTAAGTGTTATTAAACATATGTCATTCATAATCAACCTTCCTTTTTGCCGGGAGTATTTTTAACCTTTTGAAAGTGTGACATAACACAACATTGAAAACGCCCATGATGTCATAAATAAGAAAAGTATTCTCTAGGTGGGCCAATGTAAAGAAGTTCCATGGCCGTACATGGACCCCAGGGGTTATGTTTAGTAGAGCTCAACCGATATCCCTTTTTGGCACCGATATCGGCAAAAGCCGGGCATTAGGAGAGACAACTTTTTGATGCAAAATGAAGGCGAGAAAAATATTGGGAAACCTGTCATGCGGGGCAAGAGATAAAATATATCAATTTTTAATTTTCCAATACCCATAACATATGCCCACAGCTGTATTTAAGTACGTTAGATTAACAATTCTTCTTCCTGAAAAAGGGAAGACTGATATTGAAGTCACATGATAAGTTACGTATTAACATTCGTCAAGCATTAACTGGAGTTAGTTAAATAAAAGTCTAACCGCAATGATAATAAATATTGAAAGGAAAATACAGACTCACGGGTAGGGCTGTCCAAGAGAACCGAATATTCAAAATCGAATCGCAAATTATTCGAAGCGTTTTTCGGCCGATTTACAAATCGCTAAAATTTGGTACATAATGCGCCTCACGACCACCTTTGCACCGCGTTTTTCACCGGGCGAGCAAAAACGTGTTTCTATCACTTTCTTTGCGTAAAAAAAGGTCTCTCCTATTGCCCCGTGACATGTAATTATCCATTCCATGCATGGTCATAAATGAAAAGTTATTGGTAATGATGACAATGATTTAAAGATGATGTTTTTTGAGAGAACACAAGGAGAAAAAGGCAAATTTTGTGTCAGCCAAAAAAACGCCAGTTTTATAAATAGAATCGATTTGTAGCTGTTGAGTCAGTGATCATAGAAACATGGTACAGGACTGAATCACGTTTTGGAGGTCCAATATCTTTTTCCAATAGAATTTGTAATTTCTTCTAATGGCAATACTGTGTTTCATCCATTTATTACTATGACAAAAAATTGCACTTTTGTGAGTTGATGGCTGTTGTACAGCAACAATATGGTCATCAAATATTAATGTCATCAAACTAGCTCTGAATTTGTGAGTTCCCGAAATGCAATTTTGAATTTTTTGGGCAACAGTTTTATCTATATTAATAGTTGTTTATCATTTTACTGAAAATTACACAAAAAATATTGAGTTAATAATACTAATGATAATAGGACTAAAATAGCAACTACGAGCATTAAATGAGTCTGTGCAATTTCCAACTCTTAAAACTTGATAGTTTTCGAAACTCTGATTTTTTGACCAGTTCAAGAAGGTTTGTGATCTCATTTTATAACTCTGGAAACATAGTTATGCAAAATATTTGCAATAATTCAGATATAACTGCACATACGTTACCACAATATTGAAGAGGAAGTTTTTATTGTACATTAGAGACAAATTTAGGATTGCGCAATAGTATTCGATTCGAGAAAAATATTCGGTTCGATTCGAATCGAAAAAATATTCGATTTTGGACAGCCCTACTCACAGGATATATCATAAAAGCCCATTTTGCTCACAATTAGTGGCGCATCAAGGGGACAGTTATGGGGGTCGTGTCCCCTCGTTTGAAATTTGTTTTTTTTTTAGATATTGTTCTACGTTCAAACAACGCCGTTCTACAGTCATAACACTCCAGTGAAAACTACTTTTTCCCAGTGCTTTATCACCCCAACGTAATTTAACACCGCCCGACTTCGATCATACCTTATTGCTATTAGTTACGGTACCTAATAATGACGCTATCCCCGCGTATATGTTTGTATTCGGAAAGGAGATATGTTACCTCAAAAAAGTAGAAATAGTGCGGCTATCGTTGCGAATTGAAAGCAACAATAGCATCACGCTATCTCTCTCTCTTGTGACGAATACTCTCTCAGAAAAATATTGCCTTGACTAACGTAAGATTTTCTACATATGAAAGGCCGAAAACCGAAAACTTAAAAAATGTGTGTGATGATATTGGTTTAGCCACCATCCACGTTTTGATTCAAAAACATTTACCAATTATTTTATTTTTTATCGCAATTGAAAGCAGCCATGTGTGGCACGACAATAACTAACAGTCGTCATGAAAGATTTCCAATAAACTCCGACTTGAAGTACTTATAAGACGCCGAGGACGTTTTTGGTTGAAAATATTTTACATTCATCGTATATTTCAATTTAGTGAAGATAGGTTGTGCGGCCTCGGCAATAATTTAAAAGAAAATTGTGTCAGAATCAATTGATTTCATCCTTCATCATATTCATCAATTTTTTAATTTCTTACAACCTAGAGTGTATAAAATAGCTCTTAAATATTATTTAGTTTCTATCGGAATTTTTTTATCGTTATCTCGACGTCGTTGATAACAATATCGTTCATTTTAAGTTGAAGGTATTGATTTATAATCAAAATTAAAATTATAACACATGCGTGAAAAATTTAAATCAGCGCTGACTCGAAAAATAAAACACGGTTATTATTGGCGGACTGAAATTTGGGAATCGGGTTCGCTTATTTGATTATGATGACGATGGTAAACAAAAGTACACAAACATACCCTTCTTAATTTTTAGTCGTTATTTCTTTGTCCTTTCTTCTTTCCATGTGTATATTAAGACCATGAAACATATTTTATTTTTGGATTCTGCGCTGATTTGAATATTTCATGTTGCATGTTATGTATTTTTGCTTGTAAATGAATACCGGCACCGCCAACTTAAACTGATTGATGTTGTCGTCAACTCCAGTCGCCAGATGCTGATAAATTCGCGATAGATATTAAATACTATTTAATAAAAGCTATTTTATACGCTCTAAATTTCGAGAAATGAAAAAATTGAAACGTTGAAAATACTTAACAGCTTTTTGTTAGCAATTCGCTGGAATGTAATGAACAGCGTTTTGACATAGCGAAGTGCCGTTAATGAACGAGGGCAAGGTAAGCGAAACGCTGGGATGGCGTTTCCCTATTAACCAGGAGCAATTTATCGTGTTTCGGACACTGTGGCGACACCTAGTGGCGTTGCGACTTGGGTCGTGGTGCACTGTGACAATTCCAGCCGGACTATAGTTCATAAATATGATGATTTTAGCTACCTCAAGTATCGCATGAATCAATGCACCACCATAATTCTAGATAGTTTCAGTATTCGCCCCTAAATTTTCTCAGATATGTGTTCTTTTACGGCTGGTGAATGCACATGACCGTGATAAAATCCTCACACAAAAACTTGATAAAACATACATATTCGGGTGGAAATAAAAATATATGTTCATGTTTAGTGCAAAGTTCTTGAGAAAGAGTTGGAACTTGTGAAATCCACTCATGTAAAACAGTCTGAAAATCTGTTGGAAGCTGATGAAGCATGTTCAAAATTGAAGAAAAAACTTCAAAAAGCAGAGCATGATGTGAAAGACATTTCCTCAATAAAAAATTCCAGAATTTTGGAACTAGAGGCCAAGGTAACAATGCAATGCTATATAGATTAAAGGTGGTCTTTAAGTTTAGGAAGTGATAAACAAGCCTTGTGCAAAGTATTTACCGGTAGGTTATATGTCACATTGTGGAATTATGGATTATTATGTGCTGCAGTCTATTTCTACTGGATTGGATCTCCGAAATTCTTGTTTTCCACATCTAATATCGTATGTTTTGGAACGTCTCAAATCCTGTATTTTATTTGTTTTATATGACATCATTATGTTTATTCACTATAAACAAGGCTATGTACAAGCAGCTACTAATATATGATGACCTACTATTTTGTAAAAATCTGAATCTTTTTCCACACAATTTATCACACCCTGCATATGACTGTAATGTGTGATCTGTAACTTGCGTGGTGATGTCAACCAGGCCGTTTTCAATGGGGGGGGGTCCGACCGGAATTTACACAATGCAACCACGACATAAGTCGCAACGCCACTAGGTGTCGCCCCGCTGAAACACGATAAATTGCTCGTGGGTAAAAGAGAAACGCCATCGATTAAATCCCAGCCTTTCGCTTACCTTGCCCTCGTTCATTAACGGCGCTTCGCTATGTCTTGCACCTCGTGGATAGCAAAACGCCGTTCATTACATTCCAGCGAATTGCTAACGAAAAGCTGTTAATTATTTTCAACGTTTCCCTCGCTTTGCGCTTCGTGGATAGTGAAACACGGCTTGAATAAATTCCAGTGTTTCCCTCGTGCCACGCCTTGCTCGTTGGGTGAATTTGTCAAGACTAAAAACAAAATGCACTTCTTGCGAATGGACCTTTTACCGACCCTAACCCCAGAAAAATTCTAAACTAAACTGAAGCTCACCGTAAGACATAATGACAATTAAAATAATTGATTTACAACTAATTTTTGGAAACACAACTAAAAACTGACTAATTTAATGCAGGGATGTTCAAATCGAATTTAAATTCAAATATCGCAAACTTCAAATACTGTTTTATTCGTGTTTATAATAATCCCGAATATGGCGCACATATCCTAGTGTCGTCGTCCATGTGTGGTTCGGCAATATATTACAGCTGACATGAAAGAATCTTGATAAACGCCGACTTGAAGAACTTATAAGACTTCGAGGACGTATTTGATTAAAAATATTTTCTTATCGTGTTAGTCGTTGATTTTAACTTAGTCGAGATGGTTTAGGCGTCCTCGGCAAATTGTGTCTTAATTAGTTTTTTTCATTTATTGTAATTTAGCGCATATAAAATAGCTCCTAAATGATATTTAATATCTATCGCGGATTTCGTCTGCATCTGGCGTTGATGACAACATCGTTCAGTTTAAGTTAGCGGTATTCATTTACAAACAAAAATACATAACAGCCGACATGAAATATTCAAATCAGCGGAGAGTTCAAAAATAAAACACGATTTATGGTCTTAATATGCACATAGAAAGAAGAAAAGACAGAGAAATAACGACCAAAACTAAGAACGGTATGGTATGTTTGTGTACTTTTGTTTACCATCGTCATCATAATCAAATTAGTTAAACCCGATTCCCAAATTTCCGTCCGCCAATAATGGAGAATAAAGATGGAAAAACGTGTTTTACTTTTTAAGTCAGCGTTGATTTAAATTTTTCATGTTATTATGTGTTATAATTTTTTGATTATAAACCAATACCTCCAACTTAAAATGAACGATATTGTTATCAACGACGTCGGGATAACGATAAAATCTCCGATAGAAACCAAATAATTTTTAGAAGCTATTTTATAGATCGCAAGAAATTAAAAAATTTCCCGTTAAGTTCGATAACTATCGAAACTGAGGATGAAAACAATTAATCAGGGCAGGATTTGCTTTTAAGTTTATTGCAGAGGCGCGCAACATATCTTGACTAAATTGAAATATACGATAACAAATGTAAAAAATTTTCAACCAAAAACGTCCTCGACGTCTTATAAGCACTTCAAGTCGGAGTTTATTGAAAACCTTTCACGACGACTGTTAGTTATTGCCGTGCCACACATGGCTGCTTTCGATTGCGATAAAAAATGAAATATTTTTGAAATGTATTTAAATCAGAACGTGGACGGGGGCGGTAGGATGTGTACGGAGTTTTCGGTTTTCGGCCTTTCATATGTAGAAAATCTTAGGTTAATCGAAGCAATATTTTTCCGAAAATAATTTTCGTATCCAGATTTTCAGAGTTTCTTCTGCATTATTATAATATGAAGACGGGCGGCGTTACATTGCGTCAAGATGATGAAGCACGAGAGTATTTGTTATGTTATTGTCGCTTTCAATTCGCATCGACAGCGCGCGATTTCTACTTTTTTTCACCGGATTGTTGTGACCGTAGAACGACGTTGTTTGAACGTAGAACAATACTAAAAAAAAACAATTTCAAACGGGGGGGGACACGACCCCCGTAACCCCCCCGCTGGTTGCGCCACTGATGTCAACATGTTACACACATTGCTCTGATCACTAATCAAGCCATTACACTGTTTAAATCTCCTTTGGAAATTCAGTGATTCTAATTTTTCTGGTTTAGGTTCAAAATTTAGAATCGAAAAATGCATCTATTAACAAAGATTATGAACATCGTCGTCAACAGCTGGACGAAGATATCAGATTGAAGCAATCAAATATGGAGGTGGTTCGCCAGAATTTCCTCAAAAAGGAAAAATCTCTAAAGGAAGAGATTTGGTATTGTTATACTCCATAGAAATGTGATAAATAGTTTTACTCAAACTAACTTCAAAAATGGAGTTCAATTGTAACATCAAAGTGATTCACAAATCTTGCTGCACACAAACACGATTATGTTTCAGCATCATTTCGTCTGAGACAAAATTATTTTTTATTTCCCCACAATGATTATCTTCACTCTTAGTACAACACTCTTGCATTACAGGCACAGAGATTCCCACATAATTACAATTTTTACGGCACCTCTGACACCATGATATTGATAATTGGCCAATGTTATGAAGAAAAAACAAAGAATCCTGATTAGCATTAATGCTCTGAAATATTAATTGTCTGGACACAAGTCATTTGTTAACTTAGTATAAATGTAAACTCCCAAAACTCATCAACAGGAATGAGTTCTCGAGTACAGTGAGCACATGGCCCATTCACCTCAAGAATTTGCCAGAAATACAATAAAGATATAGTTACCATTAGAAACTCATGATATCACGAATTTAACGAGCATCCAAATAGCGTGTTTGTATGTCTTGTTACATCACTGAAATTATTGCATCGTTTTTTAATATTAGTAAACTTAGAAGTAAGGCTGAAAATTCTGAACAAGAAACAAATAGAGCATTATGGGACAAAAATGATTTAGTAAAAGAAAATCAAGTTATTGTTGAAAATCTGAAAAGGATAATACAAGACTTGACTTTGAGGTGAGAATATTGAATAATTTAAGAACCTAAAAAATTTTGTGGCGCTTCTGATTATATATATATAATTTTTTTAGATTTTTGGTGTTTACCACTCATATAAGATGGACTTCGTTTGGGGGACTCAAATTAATAATCAACCCAGCAGAAATTGGCCGTTAATTAATAGGGCTCGTTCATGACATAGTACTGAAAACTGATAAATTGGTTTATATAACAGCGTGGCTTTATAGCATTGTGTATCAAACAGTGGAGAATCAAAATAAATGGTGAAAACTGACTCTAGATTAAAACGCTAAAAATTGTGTGTCGTTAATAATGAAATGTCATTGGATAAACTATAATGTTGCATGTTGTTCGACTACTTTTGCCAGCTGCTCTTCGAAGAATACTTTGCTTCTCCCATCGCGTATATCAGACATCAGTTTATGTTATAATTGTTTATATGCACAAAAATATGCGCATGGGATGTAAGACTCTTACTTGTCGTAATTCAATGTTTATAAAGTCTTTTTTTTTCGATGCACCATAACTTGTAATAATTGACTTTGATGGAAATCTCGACATATAGCGATTCTCTCCTTTTAATCGGTATTCACAGATTTTTACCAATTTCTCAAGGAGAACATAAAAACAGCGAGAAAGGAAAATGCTCTCTCGTTGGATTACGATCGACAATTTAGAAACCCCCTTGTTTCGCTAATTCGGCAATCGTTATTGACTGTTTTTGTCTGCTAAAGAATGAATATCACTCTGATATATTTTTAAGCCACAATTGGCAATTCTTAATTAATAAATCATGGATTTTAATAAATCATATAATTTTGTTTGTTATTCAGAACATTGTGCTTAGAGCTCGGGCCGATATTGCCTGTTTGCCAATATATATCGGCCATACTCGGCAAGCGCTGGGATACGTGCTTCAACGGCTCTCCCCTCTGCATAACTGCTGGTTTCCCAATATTTCTCTCGCTTTCATTTTGTGTTAAAAAGATGTCTCTCCTAATTCCCTTGGCACATGATTAGCCATTTCACGCATGGTCATAACTGAAAAGTTATTATCTGGAGTAACCTTTTCGAGAGAGAGTGCACAATGAGAAAAAGGCAAATTTAAGAATCAATAGAAAATGTTGGTTCTATAAATAGAATCGATTTGAAGCTGGTGAGTTAGTAACCACAGAAACATGGTACAGGTAGCTCAAAGCAATAATGTCATCAAAGTAGTTCTGAATTTGTGGGCCCTCCCTAAGTTAAATTTTGAATTTCTGGGGTAACAGTTTTATCAATATTGATGGTTGTCTAAAAATGATATCGGTCGAGCTCTTGTGCCATCTCTTGTCAATTGACAAAGACGTTGTGTAAGGAACTTATCGAAAATACCTCTTTACAAGATAAATCCGTTAAACACAACTAAAAATGTAGCTGTGTTGAATTGTGCCAAGATGATAACGCATAGAATAATATAGTCTTGAGCCCGAAAGTGTAATGAGCGGACCATATAAATTTCTTGTTGTTTATACCAAGCTGAACACTTGCATCAAAATAATTGCCAGAATGGGGAGTTACAAATCCTGTAACCCCCCATCCATCCTTTGCTGGCTGCGCTCTTGACTCAGCATATTGCCTATCCAATTTATTATACCATTGTTGATAATTAATATTTGGGTCCAACGTTAATGGCTTATTTTTGTTTCACCCTGTTTTATATTGTTTTTAACTTTTAATAAAAAAAATTTATTTCAGGTTTGAAAATCAGGTGAAAATTCACAATAGTTCAGCTGTATCAAAAGATGTTGAAATACAAAATTTTCATAAGAAAGAGATTATAATGAAAACAGAAATAGAAAAACAGAAAAATTACATTGAGAAGTAAAAGATTTTGCATTGTTTTTAAATAAACTCAAAATGAGTTAGTTAACATAACTGTGTCAATTTTCATAATTTTTAAGCTGAAAATTCTATGTTCGAATCTTGATCAGATAACTGAAACGACTAATGGAAACGATGCAAACCACTCAACCGTGTTGATTTTTGAAGTTTAATCTTGATCAGTCTGCCTCGTCTCATGCAGGCTCAACATTTTCGAACGCCAATTCTGTTTTAAATTAGATATGTTATGTATATAAGAACTGAAATTTTCTACTCGTTCTAGCCCTAGCAATCACTTTTTGTAGCGCTTAATTATATTCAATATTCCACGAAAACTTGTCTTGAATTTTCCATATTCTGAAATCGGAGGATGCTGTTATTTTATCAAGGTTAAAACAAGATCTGGCTTCATCGACACAAAAAGAAAATTTACTTCTTCAATCAAAAGTTCAATTAAAAATGGATTGGCAACAAAGATGTCAGGAGATTAAAAGAAAACAATCTGCAGGGGTATGGATCTGGATGTATGAAAAAAGTAGCCTATATCATAATCCATTTATAGTCCAGACAAGCAATATTTAATAAAATTAACTCAAACAGAAGGCGCAATGAAGGATTATATAAAAGAGAAGCAGTTTAACTTTCAACTGTAATATGCAAAAATATGGTTAGCACCTCATCCCAGTAGAGCCTTCTGTTAATTTTTAGCCCCATCCTATTTGACCATGACTTTTTAGTACCAAATAAATCTGTCCTAATGGAAAATATATTATGTCAGTTACAAAGTTTTTGTGCTTTTTCATAAGTGTATTTGTAAATCATAAGAATATTTTTGTTTATTTATGGACTCATTGAATTTACTCTAGCCCTAAAATTGATGATTTTGTTGTAATAGAGGGAAATTTCATTTACACTGATAGTGGTTAGAGTTTAGGCCAGTGTTCACTTTTAGTGCACTTTTTTTTGAAAACTGCGAGACATTTTCGCAGTTTTCTTAGAGACCGCGATATCGCCATTTTTTTTCGTTTTTGAACGGAGAAATTTCAATGTTAACAAATAATTTGTGTGCAAGTATGAAGGCAAATAAGCTGTTATTTTATATGCTCACCTAATGCTTGGGTTGCGAAAAATTAAAATCATTTTTTCAGAGTCGCACCAAAAAGTCCTTGCAGATCCCTGGTCTAAGCAAGCACAAAGCACTGCTACTTGTGAGGCTTTTTTCCACTTTATGTACCTCATTAAAGCGATTCGCAAATTAGCCAGAAACCATTAGCCATTATTTGCAATTCGATTCAATATCGTATATTGGGTTCGCTTGGTCAGCCCTAATGCAGACCCTGTAAAATCCTGATTATTCCAAAAATTCGAAAAATGGTGGCTCTGTATGTATCAGTAGTTACTTTTCAAAGTCATAGAGTGTAGGTTATCATCAAGTATATAAATAGATATGAATTTTTATTACTATGTCGGAAGTGATTAGTACTAGCAATTAATATTATTTATAATAATTATGTAATTCAACTTTGACAATGTTATTTAATTGGATTTTTCTAATATTTTTTTCACTATCACTTTTTACCCTATACTCATCACAGTGCGAAGGTCTAATACAAAGTTTGACAAAATCACGTGATAATGCTTTTGCCGAAGTTAGAAAATTGAGACAAAAACTTGGAATGGAAATTGAAGATGATGAATTGGATGACAAGAACTTTGAGGTATGTATTTTTTGTCCTTTTTCATTGAAAAAATCATCGCATTACTGTTAAAAGTAGAAAGTATGATTATTTATTCCAGAGTGAGAGGAAAAATGAAAAAAAAACTCTTATTGTCAACAACAGCTTATTTAAATCAGGGCTTAGGTTCTGTTGCTCTTATTGAAATAAAAGTTTGTGTAGCATTGTTTGAATATATTTCAATTTTCAACTATTCATGTATTACCGTACGATTTTTCAAGTATCTTGACTCTTGAGTAAATATGGCATTCTGTCAGTTTTCATAAAAATTGAAATATTGTATAAGAAGCTCTGACTGGACTAAGATGGGATGGCTTCTTCTATTTTCTAAAAGATGTTAAGAAAGCTTAATTGTATTATACAATTAAGCTTTCTCATCATCTTTTTGAAAGGTAAGAGGTCATCATTTACTATAGGCCTACAAATTATTTGTATAGTAAATGATGACCTATTACTTTTTAATCACTTCCAGGAGCTTGAAAAGCAAAATAATCGATTGAAGACAATAATAGAACAGATGACAAATGATATGCAAAAGCTTGCAGCTAGTCAATCGTTAAACAGTACCATGGAGGTAAAAGTAGCAAATGTTTTTCTTAAATGTGTACCGTCATTATGGGCCATGGGTGAAGAATATGCATGTCTTTGTTCATGCTCAAGCAATGCATGAAATATTCAAATTTTCTGGATTTTTTTTAGTAAAATTGTCTTTATTAAAGCCCATATTGCAATAAATCCTATTCTAAACTTTACGCAAAGATAATTTTGAAACCAGTTCTTCTGAATTATATATATCCTTACATATCAGTACAAATTCTTGTTCTGGGTAGAGGTGTGGAAATGTAGTATATTATCTATTTGAAAGAATTATTCTAGAAAAGAATTTTGAAATGAACAGCAATTTGGATAAATTATGCAGTATTGCAGGGTACGTTTACTTGCTAATTTTAATAGCATCAATGATTTGATTCAACAAATATCTTATACTTAGGTCAATAAACAACACACTGGTCCACAAAGCATTTCTGTGGAATATGTCAAATCACTAGAGAAAGAATTGCGGAATTTGAAGAAAGAGAAGAGAGATTTATTAGAAACAGAAGTACCAAACGGTAGATATTTCTTTTTGAGTTGATTTCAGGTATTGATTATGCTGTTTTTAATAATACCATTTTTGCAAGGAAAGTTTTTCAAAAGTATGCATTGATTATGTTGCATTTGGAAGACATTTGCTGTAACACCCACCGCGCTTCCGCGCTCGTTAAAAGAGCCGTCTTTTCAGCGTATACTGATCAACCTGTTACGTAAAATATTCAATCCATGACAACTACGAGATTCTAAAATATTCTTATATGTTAATTTAATGTGTCCAACGTAACTCGCGGTTTCTTCTTCTTACGTCAAAAAAAAAAAAATTACTATTCGGTCCACGGCGATATGTGACCTAAAAGTACGAGATAAACTGCCTGATGTATTTAATTTTAATACGTATTTTTGCAATCTTGCCAACTCGTTATCGCCGTTAGAAAAATCTCAAATAAAGATATAAAATCCTGTTAAGTGTAGAGTATAATTCATTTCATACAATGAATATACATATAAAGTTAAGCAGTAAATTAAAAATACATATTCATCGCCGCGATTATGCCACCTGTTAAAAGAGTCGACCTTTACAACAAATAATATAACAACGAATATATATTTTTCTGTTGTGCAAAGTGATGAATTCGTGACCGATACCGGCATATATAAAATGTCTTGCTTTATTTATTTAATTGTCTTCAATTTACCCTGCGGTTGCGTCGACAAAATAAAATCCTCACCACTCTTATATACCATTGCAATCTGCGGTCATAAAAATAAAAACGTGTGGTAAACTGCCCGATTAAATAATGTTTTGATCCGTATTTTGCGAATTCGGCAAATATTTGGATGTACTTGTTAACAGTGTCTCCGCTCAATCGAAATGCTGCCATTCTGATTATTTTTAGATAAAACCGTTCGAAAAATCCATAAATCTTCTGTAACATCTCAGAGTGAAATTTATTTCATCAAAATAAAATTAATTGAATATACTTTGAAAATAATCGACGGCAATTTAAAGTAATGGATAATCAGGCAAATCCCGCCCTCAATTCGTGACGATATGTTTCTAAACGCCGACCAAACATAATGTGTGACAGAGGCACACGAAATTCTGCGATTTTCACTGCCTAAAAAAGCGTTTTTTTAAATTTTCGCGGGCCTCAATAAAACTTATATTGTTTACGGTTTTATTTTCAGTATTAATTGCCGCTTTTCAATCAAAAAGTTGCGTTGTCTTTAGAAACTTGCCGCCGATGAACGTATTTACCAGATTCAAAATTCTGTGTGCGTGCAAAAATAAAATAATTGTAATCGTTATCGTGGAACAAATTTGTGAAAAAATTCGTTTTAGAGAAAATAACACAAACGTAACGGCCTAAATGACGCGTTACGCTGATGAGTGATGAAAACAATCATGCGCAAGTTTCTATCGAGAATGTTTTCATTCAACGGAAACGTGTTGAGAGCGGCGTCGAAAATGTGTGACGTCACACAAATATCCGATATTCTTATGAACGCCAATTCCGATATTCGAATAACGAGATATTCGAATACATTCGAATAGTTTATTCGAATTGGCCATCCCTGCCTGTAGTGCTGTGTTCGCTGTTCACATCTAGTCAATGAGCATTGTCCCAACACAATGTAGTCAGTGGCGCCATCAGTAAAGACATAATAACAATGCTTGTCGTACAGGCTAATATGCTGTGCAGGCAAGATTTCGGGATCTAAAGTTGTTGACTTTGTGATTACGATTTTTAGGTAACAACATATTTTAATTTTTTGGAATGTAGAACCCAGCATTAGACTACCATTTTGAGTTGGCCTTAAGCACTGAATCCAATTACATTTATTAACATTTTTGATTCAATATTCTTAACTTATTGTCATGAAGCAAGATTCTCTGCATTGACATCCATTACAACAAAATATCGAAAAAGCTTATGATTGATGTTGACATGAACTTCTATCTGCCGTCCACTTTGCCCTAGGTTCTATTCTATTGTTTGATATCGCACAGTGTCACCCTTTCCATTAAGATCAAATCCGGGCGTTATTGTTGTGTTATTGGATTCTTTGGAATTGATAAATTGTGTGACAGAAATCTCATTTTTATGAAAGGCATAATTGGTATTCATAAAAAGTTTAGGAACCATTTGTCTGAAGCCATGATTTAACACATAAGCTTCATAAACGTTGAAACTTTTAATAGGGATCATTTTTTTTCAGGATTTGTAACGAATCTTTTGCCTTCTGTTACTTCTAATTCATCTGTTTCTCCAGTAATCACTGCATCTTTTGTTCATCCCGATTTGAATTTACATATAAACTCATTAAATAAAAAGATAGGTGAGTTGAAGCACTAATAACAGAAAAATCAACTTTATGCTAGAGAGCCAAAAGCACGCTAGAAATTAAATTTTTGTTTATTGCCACTGTAACTTATCAATCAGTCAATTATTATATTTTGTAGAAAGCTATGTTGTTGGGATGGGATAGAACTTTGGTTAATGATCAGATTATTTGATCATAGGTCGAACCATAGTCTCTCATCCATTGCAATAGCCAGGATTGAATTTTCCTAATGTTGTCCATTGTCTTATCTGATCGTCGATCTGAACGGCGTCATATTACGGCCAGAACATCACAGTTCCGTAGTCGAAACGATATTATTCTGTTATTAATTTCACACCGCCAGACTTTTAATCGTCTTTACGGTATGTTATAATTTTAGTTGGCACTGATAATGACGCTTATTTCCCTGCTATCGAGATATTTACCTCCTGCAAGCGGTGGCGCAACATTCAGAATCAGGTGATAAATAAAATGATTCAAATCGCAGGGTCTATTAATGAAGAAATCCCAATGTAGCAGTATTGAAAAACGTATAATATAAATATATCACAGAAGGATTTTCATTCATCGACTTTAAAAAAAAACAATAGCGATTGTCTATTCCGCAATAAATAAGAATGTGTAATTATTGATTGCAATTCAGTAAGTCGTATTTTCCTTTCTTTTTTCTTGAAACAGACATGAAACGAATTTAACTGCCGTTATGGCCATGGGCTCTTGAAAGGCGAGAAATGTTAAATACTACTAAGGACTTTCTTTTCAAACTCCCAACGCAATCACTTTCATTGAAGCAAATCACAGCGCATTGAATAGAAAAATAAACTATATTAACATTGATGAGTGAACGAGTAAAAATTTACCTACGGCTCTCACTGACAGACAGAAACGATAAACGATAAAATTAATACGAAAGTAACACGGACACGATATAAAATTAAAATTAAAGAGTCAACTAGCCTCAATCAGCTTCAAAAATATCTATCACAGGGTCAGTAATGATAATATTGTTTGCTTGAAAGTGGGACCGTAATTTACCATCTGTGATATGGCAGATCAAATCCCATGCAGAAGAATAAAATTAATTTGTGTTGTGAATAGCTGTCTTTTACATATTTACCGATGTGAACTCACAGTTCTGCCCGAAACAAAGAAACTAAACTTTGGTGTCCGCCATTGCATGTGAATCAAATCCTATGCAGAAGATTAAAATCAGAATAAAATTAATTTGTATTGTGAATAGCTGTCATATGAACTCACAGTTATGCCGACCGCCAAAAAACAATCAGCAATTAGGACAAAATTATGAAATAAAAAATGCTGCGTTGTCACCAATTTTCCATATTTGGTATTCGTTGGAAATATTCGAGTTATTCGATTGAAAAAAGTTGATTTTTCCCATCACCAATCACTGCGCATGTAAATACTCACTGAATGGCAATAAAAAAATTAACTTGATTAACATTGAATTATACGTAATAGTTTCACATTTCATGCACATTTGATCGATGCTATATGCCAGCTTGTTTTTTGCATACAAACGATTGTAACGCCAGTGTCATCGGCGAGTTGTACTGTCTCTAAAATTATTTTTAACGATTTTCATCGTTTTATTTCCAAATGCGGATACTCAAGAACTTGTAACTGTGGAATTTTGCTGTAAACGACGTACAAATTTTAGTACTTTGAGCGCCTTACGTTTTCATGATTTTCACTTTTGGTTGTTTTAATTTAACTCCCTGTTTAAAATATCCTGGCTGCGCCCTGCTTGAGAAAACTTGTAGCCGAATTCCGTGAACATTTATCTCTCACATTCAATACCTTAATTGAAATGTCATTCGAGAACTTGATTCGAATTAGTTTTTCAAAACTGTTGTGTATTGTGGTTTGTGCATATATGAAGTCAAGGTCAGATCTGTGGAGTCAGGAGTTAGGAATCTTTTTGTTAATATTGGAGTTGCAGAAGTGGAGTCAGAACTTTTAATTCTTCAGAGTCAGATTTTTGACGTTGGTGATCAAAATTTGCCACAGATACTCAAAAAGCATTGAGTTGATTAGGCCTTGGAATCTGCAGTCTGGGGTGATGTCTTTTTTGAAATGCAGGAGTTGGATGTAAATTTTCCCACCTCATACTGATTGGGGAGCTATATTATTTATTGAATTACCGGTTAGCATAAGTTTTGATATACTTTTATTGTGACATGATAAAAGCGACTTTACAGGTGACATATGACAGTTATTGCAGAGCAATATGAACGAAAATGTCATTGTAATTAGGGCTGTCCAAGCGAACCAAATATTCGAAATCGAATCGCAACCTATTCGAATCGTTTTTCGGCTAATTTTTGAATAGCTAATATTAGATACATAAAGCGGAAAAGGCTTGAAACCTTTGCAGGACGTTTTTCGTCAGGCAAGCGGCGGCGCTTCAAGCTTAGACCACTCTCGCTCCTGTCATAATTGGTTTCCCGATATTTCTTTCGCCTTCATTTTGAGATAAACATGTCATTCTTAATGCCCGGTGGCACGTGATAAGCCATTTTATGCATGGTCATCATAACTTAAGTTATAATCGGTCATGACGATTTTGAGAGAGAACAAGAAGAAAAAGGCAATTTATTATCTTTAGAAAACGATAGCTCTATAAATAGAATCGATTTGAAGCTAATGAGTTAGTTATCATAGCTAATGGTTTATAATTTCATTTTGTAAAATACCAATTATCCTCTGTATAAATTACAGGCAACCTCAGAGCTGAAAAGACTGAATTATCTGTTCAGTTAGAAAAGCTGAAAGTTCGTTTACATCATCAGGAACTTATTTTAAATTCAAGAGAAAACGAATCAAAACAACAGCTTGTAAGGATTCAAGAACTTGAATACGATTTGTCATCAAATCAAAGAAGATATGAACAGGAAGCTCAATTTTTGAAGTAAGTTTTCAAATGCAGTAATAATTAAGAAAAAGTTATAATAATATTCATTCAATTTTTGTGATATGACCCATTATGAGTTGACATGAACTGATGCATATTGATTTAAAAACATGAAGTTCTGCCAAATACAAATCATGTTTTTAATATTGAAATCAATTATCTCTGTCTCTATCTCAACTTCTCACTAGTAATAGTTGGTGTATTGTAATAAGCTTTATGAATGTGCTGCCATTTTACTGCTGATTGTTATTCATGAGGATGATGTGTGTGCAGAGGCTTGCCGGACTAGAGGATTATTCACATATCCACTGATCTTTTCATGTTAATCTTTATTCTAGACGACAGATCTCAGATATTGTATTGCAATTGGAAGAAACGAGGAAAGAGTCTGATGAATATGATCGGGGTGGAATACAGAATAATTTACATGTCACTGAACTTGGAAGTCATCTTTCTCAAATGAAAGTTGCTGTTGCTTCAAAATCACCTTGGATGGGAGAAATTGCTCAGGTATGGTGTGTTTATTAAATAACATGATTATATTACCAACTTTGCTCTACATTCATGTGGCTTTAATATATGCATACAAATATACAATAGAGGAAAGATGATGAAATTGGATTTGGGCTGATTAGTGAGGGATCTGATTTGAGGACCACTATTTTTAATGATCACTTTGAATTCTTTGAATTCATCTAATAGTTCCAGTAGTTGAATTACACACTTTGATCTACAGCATCCCGTTTATAACACCCTGCGTATGTTTTTATCAGTATTATCATGATCCAACTTTGTTGATTATTCAATAACATTTTCCATGGATCTAGTGCAGTGCTCATCAACAACACCCCGTCCATCCTATATTTTCAATACGTAAGAAAACTCATTGTTTTTTAGATGTTATATATATATGTTTATGTCGGCGCAATAGTTATTATTTAGTAAATGTGAACGTTGCTCTTTGATTCCATCGGGCATTTGTGCAAAGCGAGGTAATAACCTTGTTACCAGTGCCCCTTTCATTGGAGCAGTGGTTATCAACCTTTTACTGACAATGTACCATTTTGGTATTTCTGAAGTATGTGAACCAAAATGGCAGACACCGCATCGCAGTATGCGTACCCGGTTAGAGTTAGGCCATCATTTTATTCCAATTTTCCTCATTTTTGTTCTATTACGAGTTCGGGGACTAGCCAATTGACTTCCTTAGTATTTATAAATGAAATTATGATCTTTTCCTAACCTGGTACACATATTACGTTCCGGTGTCCGCTATCTTGGTTCAAATACTTCGGGAGTACCACAATTTTTTTTTTTTTTTCTCCGGCCGCGTACCACCAACAAATCCCCCTTTTGGGGACCGAGAACAAAACCACAAGAATGGAAGCCGCGGTATGGAGAATTAATAAAAAACTTGATTAATGGCCCATAAAGCTGTAGATTATGTTTATTAATCAACACATATAACAGATAACAATAGTATCATCCATATGATGTATGAAACCGCTATCAAGCTATCATCTCACTACGCGCCGACCATTCCCGTCGAACGATCCATTCGTTGCCGTTTTTCAATGCATTTTGGACGTAAAATGCAGCATGGGCGAAAACATGCCTGTCTCGCTTCAATTTATGGTAGTACTATAAACTCGTTCAGAGAATACATACAGTATGAAATGAACAATAAAAAGAAAGCGTTGCTGGCATAACTCAGTCAACTCGGAAGTTAATTGTTGCAATGATTCAAAGCTGCTCGGCTGAGAACCACTGCATTAGAGTATCTGCATCAGGACCATCCAATCTTTTTAGTGTCGCGGGCCACTTTCACACGAGGAAATTCATTGCGGCCCGCAAATGTTTATAACAAACTTGAACACCAGCCAAGACGTCAAAATTGAGTGTCATATTTGCAGTTTACCGTTCTAATGTCTGGAAACAGGTGGCCTGGACGTGGGACGTCACTCCTCGGAGCTGAGTCAAACGCTTGTACAGCACAACGCACTTGCGGATTTGTGGACACTTTTCGCAAACAAACAAATACGTTAAAATTGAGTGTTATATTCACGTTATAATGTTTTTTGTTTTTAGTGGCTATGATATTGTTTCAATTCCCAAATGAGCAGGTTGTGCGCTAATATCACGTAAATTTCAACAACTTTTCAGTAGGCCATTCTGTAAATTTCGAAACATCAATACAAGTTCCTAACAAAGTAACATTTCTACGATTTCCGAAAGGATATATTAATTTGAATATGGAAAAATGCCATTAAGTCAATTTTATCATAATTTTTAACGGATTCGCAGAGACGACATTTCATGTGTTTTATTTTATTTAACGCAAAATACCATGAACTCAACAGAATAATACAACGAACCCCGAAGCCAGTAGTAAAGATATTGTTCACTTTTTATAATATGTTGGCGATAAGGACGATCAAAGCCGACAAGAGATAATAATAAATATGAAATCTAATTTGGGAATTTGGGTTGTCAAATAATTTCCATAATTTTCCTTAGCATTTTGTCGCAGTAGTTTGTCAAACAGAACGCGCAGTTTTTTAAACCTAAAAACAAACATCGATGTCCACCAGAGCGCGAGACTTGATACATACGCAAAAGTATCAAACTGCTACAAATGGTATTGTGACGTTAAAATCAGAATAAGCAGATATCAGAAATGCCAGACATACGTTATGCATAAATAAACACGTATAGGTTAGTTAGATAGGTATTACATGCCATAGCGTATGCGATTAGCATATCATGTGTTAGTGTGTACTCCACAGCATTCGGTATGGTACACCCCTGGTACACCCTTCAAAGTTGTTGGTACACCCTGGGGTGTACTATACACCCGGTTGACGAGCACTGATCTAGTGTTACAAAACAGGAAGATGACAATAAGGCATGTTGTTTTTATCTGTTATTATTTTGTATTGAATTTTGATTAATTTTTCCAGGCAGGAATTGTTCAACAGTTAAAATCTGAAATCACTGATTTGAGAAGAAAATTAGCAAAAGCAAAACAGGCATTGATTTTGGGGAACAACAGTGGGAAGCCCACTAAAGGTTCTTAAATTATTTCCATCAAAATGTCTCTGCATGCCCACTTATTAAGTAATTACTTTTCTTCCGTTTTTTTCTCACTTTTCTATGAACAAATCTCAGTGATACCTATACTCTGTGATAGAAGGAATCGGAATGTACATTCACACATGTCCTAATTTATGACCTCTTGACTTTGAGTGGATTAGTGTAAAACTTTGCAGGTTTCACCATGCGTGAAATAATTATATGTGAGATGATTACCAAGCTTTTCATCACCAGATCATTATTCGTGTAACTAGGCTTGCACATAATTTACGGAATTACGGAATTATTTTGAGTTACAGAATGGAATTTTTGAATTACGTAAAGTCGTAATTATTGGTCGAGCGCTATCAAGATTGAAACAAGCTCTCTTCAAAGCAGTCAATTCCGTCGATTGTAAAAAAATGAAAGTTTGATAAGTAGAAGAAGTTAGAGTTCCCGTATTCATAGTCGTTTTTCTTTCTCTTGTTACGCAGGTGGGGAAAGGCATGACGCATTGCCACCCCCATTGAGGAAAATTTTGATCTGATCATTGATCAAAATTGATCTACAAAAAAGCAACAGCGTCGTTTTACGTTCCCGCGTCTTAGTTTCCTGGTCAAAACGCGCCAGACTTTTTTGTCTTCACGATATTGTGTCTTTTTTATTCGGCGCTGATAATGATAAATAAGAATGTGCGATTGTTGATTGCATTTCCGGAAGGCGTATTTTCCTTTCTCTCCATGAAACAGGCATGAAATGAATTTTACCACCGTTATGGGCGCTCAGAAGGGGACTTTCTTTTCCCGACTCAATCACTTTTATTAATATAAATCACAGCGCATTGAAATGCAAGATAGAATTTATTAGCATTGATTTACAACGAGTTACGTGTAAGAACTTACCGACGGCTATCCCTAACGGGTAGCAACGATAATTGTGAAGAAAAAAAAACATTTTTTTTGCCTCTTTGCGTCATATTTTTCAATTCCTAATTTTGCATTAAGCGTGCTAACATCGTTTTTGTAAATTTAGAAACGTCGAACCAGCCAATACGTCGATGTTATAATTAATGTCGCGCTTATCAAACAGCAATATGACAATGGAAGAGAAATTGCGTAAAAAACCAACGCAACTTCGTCTTTTCGGTATCGGTAAAGCGATTGAGGCCGCAGAGAAACAACAAAACGGCGGGATTTCCTGCGGACCGGTAAAAATCCTTCGTGACCGGCTATTGGGAACCACTGCACGTAGGCCTGTAGGTACGTAGGCTAAGACTTAAAAACATGTGTGAAAACTGTTTATTTCATGTCTGATTTCGAATCTAAGCGAGACGTAACAGACGACAGCCGAAAAATAAAACACGATTTTCGATCTTAAGTTGGGCAAAGAAAAGATGAAATAGTTCTTTGTCAAGGCCACAACAAAGTATGAAATACAAGCGGATTTATATGAAGTTTGAGGAAATACAATGTTCATTTTATTCGGGTTTTGCAAATAATATATGTTTATTCCAACGCAAATGTTGCTTATTCGCTTGACAATTTGTCGGTTTTATTTTGTTGTTTTTGATTAATATGGCTATTTGTCCATTTCATTTCGTTCGCCTAGTACCAGGATAGGATAGGATTTACATATTTATCTCGGGGGAGAGGAAAGCCGATAAGACGGCTTATCCATATGGCGAACCACGGCCTCTCGTCCGGTTTCCATTCCAAGTCGGGTATGGGATTAGTTTTACTGTATTGTTTGTTTTCGGAAGCATGGACTTGGTGGTGGAGGAAGCCGTAACCGACCAGCGGTTATGTGAACCACCCAACGACGGCGAGGAGTCCAGCAATCCTCTCGCACATAACCATTGCTGCATGGGATTCGAACCTGCGAACCCACGCAGAGTAGTTAGAGGTGCGGTGGCGAGCGTATTCCTAACGCTTAGCCCGTTGAGCCACACCGCCGCGCCAGCATGTGCCAGCTTATTAATAAAGTAATTTAAATCTACTTAGAAGATTGTAACCTGTCTGTTGATTCCATACTTAAAGACTAGAGAAATCGGCAAGTGCCAAAGTACGTTGAACTATCACAATAGACCTTATTCATTAAAAACCCATCCTACGCGCAAAAAGAAAAGTGATGTAAAAAAAATTTTTTTAACATTAGCTCTTGTGGAGAATGTGTTCACCAGAGCAGAAATTTGCATTTTTTGTAATTTTCTAGATATCTTTCAATGTGGATGTGGGCAGTTTTGAGGATAGAATATTTTTTACATCTTTTTTGATATTTTTATCATGATAAACATGCTCAAGATTTTTGATAATCGTTCATTAAAATTTTAAGGAGCGCGGTGTTTTCGATGACGTCATTCTCACTAGACCATGAGATTCAGCCAACGCGCCGTGCTCTGTGGGATCAATGACATTAAATGTTGTTAGGATAGGATAGGATTTACATATTTATCCTGGGGGAGAGGAAAGCCGATAAGACGGCTTATCCATATGGCGAACCACGGCCTCTCGTCCGGTTACCATTCCAAGTCGGGTATGGGAATAGTTATATTGTTTGTTTTCGAAAGCACGGACTTGGTGGTGGAGGAAGCCACCATGTCATTGATCCCACAGAGCACGGCGCGTTGGCTGAATCTCATGGTCTAGTGAGAATGACGTCATCGAAAACACCGCGCTCATTAAAATTTCAATGAACGATTATCAAAAATCTTGACCATGTTTATCATGATAAAAATATCAAAAAATATATGTAAAAAATATTCTATCCTCAAAACTGCTCACGTAAACAATGAAAGATATCTAGAAAATTACAAAAAATGCAAATTTCTGCTCTGGTGATCACATTCCCCATAAGAGCTAATGTTAAAATTGTTATTTTTACATCACTTTTCTTTTTGCGCGTAGGATGGGTTTTTAATGAATAAGGTCTATTACGGAATTACGTAAACAATTTTGCCGTAATTACGGAATTGATTTCGGACGATTACGTGCAAGCCTACGTATAACTACTGTTCAGTCGCTGTTTCTTCCATGATCGCAATCTACACATTTGGAACAAATAACCTCATAACTATTCATACAACTGGTCAGCTTTCCTATAAAATAAAAAAAATTTTGATCATAACTTCTGTTAAGTAATTCATTGCTTCTGAAACATGTCTTTTATACAATGCATATTCACACATTTTTGTTTTAAAATATATTGTGGCGCTAAATGCACTATGCTTGGTGTAATATGGTATTTGCCTCGTGGTCATGCATAATGATTCGTGATAAAATTGATGAACTCACAATTGAATGGAAGTCTGTTATGAAACTTTTATTGAATCCATCAAAAGTGTTCTCTGTTTGACATCACATATTTGACATGGAAAATTGAGCGCATTATGCTCCATGGAGGGATAAGGAAGAGTGTTTGAGAGTCTATATACTTTAAATTAGAGAAACCTTCCTACAACAGTGATTTCAATTGCTATCTCGTTTTGTTTATGAAATAATTTCTCAGCAGTGTTATGCCAAGTATGTTCCTAAAATAGAAATAGTAGCTAAACCAGGGGTCTCCAACTCAAATATGTCACAGGCCACTTTTTGAGCTTCATTGATGGTGTGGGCCGCAAACTAACAAATTAGGTACAAAATTGATACACAAAAAATAACGGAAGCAATCTGAATGTTTTTGTTAAAATTACACTTGAATTAACTATAATCTAGCGAGTCATGAAACATTGCGTTGGTTTGCTAGCCTTAAGACACCGTGCAAATGCTCGTCCGCTAGTTGTGTGCGAAAGGCTGATTTTGTAAGTTTAATTGTTGATAAAAATTGCTGCTATTACTTCACAATCCATCAATATACACTCTTTAATAAAGCTTCCTTCAAAGAAAGGACGCGACGATATCGCAATCAACTTACCTATGGCAAAGCTCGCTTTCATTTTATTTATGTCTGAGAAAAAATTTCTCTGTTTCATAAGTGAAAATTTTAATTGTGATGCCGCTTCGTAACGAATTGTTTCAGCATAGAGATAGTGTTTTTCCCTGTGTAATGAGTCGTAATGTCATTGGATGAACCTTGTTATTATAATTTCACACAAAATACATATCCCACCACTTCTCTTGAAATATTCTGTGTTCTTCCGAACATTCATGCTTCTATACATTGCGCATGGGTTTACTACTTTATGAAAAGTTTATAATAATCTAGTTTTGCTTTAACTGCACATATGCAGAATTATTGATTACCGTAATAACTGCACACTTCAATAATCTGACCGACAACTTGTTTATTTCGACATAATAGAAATTCAAAATGAAATTATTGAATTACAATTTTATTATTACAGTGGATGTTTCCCCGGCCTGAAAGATTTCCCCATTCAACGCTGATTTCAAGAGTGTTTTGGAGAGATATCACTTACAAACTGGCTCACATGTTCAACCTATCATTTTTACGCAAAACAAACCATTTGCCATTTTAGGCCAGTCTATCACAGCGTTTGCACTTTGCAGTATCAATTTTGGATTATTGTAACTAACTAAAGATCCTCAGAAGACACAATGATAATTAAGTCGTTTGGTTTTCAACTATTTTTTGAAAACAACTGAAAAGTAACACACAAAACTACCAAAAGAGGCAACAATGTTTACAACCATGAATCATGCTTGATATATGTCTGAGCGGCGCATATATTCCAATTGTTACGTTATTGTTAACTTATTGCTGATATGTAATTGTTACTGATCTAAACAAGGAAACATCCACAGAATAAAATATGAATGTGGTAAAGTGGAATAACAGAAGGAAATTTCACTTTTTACAGTTTGTGGGAATGAACTCTTGGTGTTGAAATATGACCATGACGCGGGCCGCAAAAAATGCTTCGTGGCCGCGTGCTGCGTGTTGGAGACCTCTGTTCTAAACCGTTTTCCTTAATCTGGTTTTTGTCATGTAATTCCTATTTCATTCAGGCAGGGTAGTTTACCTTGTCTAGAATTATGCACTTAATTTTTTGTAGTAATTGAATATTATTATGCCCTACCATAAGTTTATTTTTATTCTGTAATGTTTTAGCTACAATACTAAACAAGCAGCTCTATGCAAAATTGCAACTTGCTGCTAAACAAATATCAAGATTATTGCAAGAAAAATCACAACTATTGGAAATTGGAAACAGTCTACGATCAGAGCTTGCTTCTAAACAAATGAAAAATGGAAAAATTTTACCAACGAATGATGGGGATGCAGGTGCCATTCTCATTCTACTATTCAGCAGAGATAGAGATAGTTGTAGATTTTTAATAACTGACCATTTGTAATCCATTTTAATTATGTGTATAAATCTTATATTAACTGTATTAACAGGAGAGCAACTCATAAATTTTTTGCGCACAATATTACCTGTAAGATACTTCAACCCAACCTTTAAAATATGAAGAGAAAGTCTCAAAAGATGAAATAACGTTTTTTATAAAATAAATAGATGAGATAAACAATGATCATGGAATTCAGATGAATTATGAAAAAATATAAGTCATAGTCCTGAGACACATCTTTAACTTTTTATCCTAACACAAATAGTTAGGCAAGCCATATACTCATTATTGTACATGAAGTGGACCTATAAATCGTTTTGTTATGTTCTTGTTGTTAGCATTCTTTTTCCTATTTTTGTGAAAGAATCACTTTTCTCATTCTGACTAGTGGTTCGATTACTCTGAAATTTTCAATGGTTAAATATTGTTGTTGTCACTAGAATGTATTACTTTTATTGAGTTCTTTAAATTTCTGTGGGCTTTATGGAATTCCTTTTTTGTGTCTGTGATGTCATCAAAATTAAAAATTGTGTACTTTACGGCGGTTCTGCATTCGCTCCACCTGGTTATACTCAAATTACTGAATCTAAATGTTTTTCAAATGCTTAGTATTTTCGAATGCATTTTCTCGTACTGTTCTTGTTAGTTACTCTTAGTTTTTTATATCCTCAAACCAGTAATTTCTTAGTTATTTGCATCAAGTAGTTTATTCCTGAGTTGGTCGATCTTCAGTTTGTAGTCTAAGGATGGTCATTATTTTAAGGGGATGGTGTTAAGTTTCAAAACAAATTGAAGGAGATTGAGAATCTTCAATATCAATTAACCAGGTATTGGTTTTTATAATGATATAAAAATGAACTATATTCATATTAAGTAAATATTCAATCGGGTTAGTGTAGTGCAGTGGTTGTAAACCTTTTTGGTGGCACGAAACCCTGTGCAATTGAATATATATATACTCTATCCTATGATTATTTTGTTGTCATAAAATAGGCCAATCAAAAACATGTGAAACAACAATTTATAATACATATAATGGAATTGTCTCGCGGATTTGATTATAATCTTGCAGAACCACTGACCTAGTGCATAGTATCGTACTATACGAGTCTCCCATACCCCACCTTAGTGATATCGTCTGACCTGGTGAATATTGATACGAAATTAATTCATTGCTTTCTAGATATATTATCTCGTCGGCCACTTTCTGATAGGTTGGAGTAATGTTAAGCCTGCCCATTGCCTGAAGTGCTAGCTCCTACAGTTTGAGTGAAATTCCGAAAATGGCAAATATTAGTATAGCACCTTTACCATCAAGTTTTATATTGACTCCAAGACACTTGTAACCAATGTTGATTTAGGTTACATAACGAACTTATCCCATGATTCTCCAATTTATAATCTCGTTTTTGTTCTCAGACAAGAACTTCGATACGCTCAGGGAGTTGTCATTTCAAACAAACCTAAAATTCCCGATACTCCACCTTCAACATCTACCCCAGAAGGTAGCTTGTTATTTTTATTTAGTTATTTTGACCTTGGCCTATTTGAGTATTTTACAAAAGCAAATTATGCGGGTCACATTAATTTCCACATATAAACAATCGCCACAATCAACTTTATTTATGGCGCATTTGCAACTCCTGTTCCTGTGTAATTCTGTTTTAATGAGACATGTGTGTGGCCATTTCTCATTTATTATCAAACATTTACCTTGTTCTTATTTACTTGCCATCACTGTGAAGAATGATGTAGATTCTGTGTGATGGTCAATCTTTAATTTAACTGATAACTTTGTTGATGATATCTTTGACCCCAGCTCGCTAACGCCAACCTTATGTGGACTGTTTGTTATTTTGTACATTCTCAGCCATCCAGGTTGATGCATCTAGTCAGCTAACTTTGTCAGAGATTTCTATTCCTGGCGTGGATTATTGGGTGTGCAAAAGAGAGATGTTTTGATATCTCAAAATCATCAAAAATATGATCCTATCTTTAGCACAAAATATTGATTGTAGTGAATTTAATTTACCTCTGTTTTTAAAAGTTCACTCGAAGTAATATGATGCGCCCTCACTTCGAAGTAGTGGACGACTACTGATATTCTGAGAGATGCTGAAATTTTGTAGATGCCTATAGACAGGCGACTGCAAGCAGTATGAGTTACTTACAAGCCAATCTGTTTTCTCGCAAAACTACTGCATCTTTGTAAAACACTATTTGACACATCAGAATCCTCTAATTTTGTCATACATGTCATTACTTATCGATCTTAAGATCGGTAAGTATGTTGATAGGTATTTGTCTGTCTGTTAGATGAACGCGATATCTCAAGAAGGCGGGGTTGAATCTGCTCCAAATTTTGCATGTGCTATCATCATATCTCGGACCAGAAGCCTAATTGATTTTGGATGAATTATGCCGTATAATTAGCGAGTTATTAATTAATTAGTTATGGGACATGCGGTGTCACTATAGAGTCATGATTTGAAATCGCAGTTTCGATCGATAAGTCTTCGGTCTCTGACCGATACTCTCGTTTTTAATACTTTCATAAATTCATAAACCTCGTTAGAAGTTTTTCTACTATATTCCATGTTATTTTCAGCTATCGAAAGTAATGGTACCGAATATCGAGAAACTGAGTCTACTGTACAACATAGTAGTGGGAAAAACCCTTTACAGTATAGCCTATCATCTATAGGTGATGCTTCATTGAAAGATGTCTGGAAAATGCTAGATCAGGAACCTTCAAGTCCATCTGCTCCCGGAAGCCAAGATGACAGTGGTATGTTACTTTGAAATATTTTCATGCTAGGAGCAACTCCTTGCGTACGCATGCTGGTTCATGTAACCGCTGATCTGTTGAAGACATTCATTGCCATTCAAGTTTATGCATTTGGAATGAATGATTCGATGGTCGACTATTCGTACACCGTTTCTGATCTTGATTGGGAACTCGAGTAAAAGGTTGGCATGCTATATCATAAAGCCATCCTTTTAGTTTCAATATTTGCTTATATTCAATTGCTTTATCTATTGAAATGTGCAAAGTAGGGCCCGACCGATATATCGGCCGGCCGATATATCGGCCTTGTTTTTCACAAATTTTGAACTATCGGTATCGGCTAATTTTACCGATAGTTATCGGCTAATCACGTGACTGCCAAAGTGTCAAAATTGCGCCGGGAAAGCAGTTTTATCGCTTGTTTAATTCGAGAGCGGTTCTGCGTGAAACTCTTTTTCTTCACTATTTCTATTTCTCTCTCATCAACAGCGGTTTCACGGACGATTGCGACACGGGATTTCACACTTTGCAAGCAAGTTTGCAGCGTGGTGGCTTACAAATCGAAGCGATAGAACAGTGGTTCCCAACCGCCGGTCCGCGGACCGGTGCCGGTCCGCGAATCTTTTTTGCCGGTCCGCAAGAAGTTTTGTTGTTTTTATGCCGTTTCAATCGCTTTACCGTAGGCAAAGTTGCGTTGGCTCATTACGCAGTTCTCTTCTGCCGTCATATTACGACGTCTTTCGCGACATGTTGGCGCCGTATTACGCGACATCTTGGCGCCGATCACTCACACTTTTCGCTTTTCCAGCTCCGATTCATCGCGAATGCGCTCCATCAAATCTCGCAAAATTAAGAAGCCTAAAAATCGGCACGCGTGCCTTTACTGTTCTGCGTGCTTTTTCTGATTAATATGACCATTCATATGAAACGTAATGGATATCTCCTTGTTTAAACTAGAAAACAGTCAAGAACAGTATAATAATCCAGTAAGATATGAACTTGTTGCGACCCCACAGGTGGTCACGCGATACACGCAAAAAAAAGCACGAGCCGCAGAGATCTTTTCCAGACACAGTAGGATTTTGAGCTTGTCGCCAAGTTATCGACGACTTTGTCATTGTAATGCAAATTCATTCCGTTTGAGGCGTCGATTAACTGCAGAGGGATTAATATTATGAACCCAATGAAAAAGAAAGGGCTTGATTAAAATTGTGATTCTTTTTTACAGTCCAGATTGAAAAAGAATTACTTATCACAATTTTAGATATCTCTTGATAACGAATACCCATCGCCAAGTAATCGAGCAATCAAACTGTGGTCCGTCTTTTCAGCCAGTTACTGCGTTATGCGAAAAAACATTCTCATCACTCGATTCAATTAAAACCTCACTTTGATTAAAACGAGGCAAGGAAATCGGCTGCACGCAGCTGCAGAGCTATGTGTTGCAAAAACTTCTTTGCCTCGTTCGCAATCTTGTATTGGAAACGAAACAGCAGCAAAATTCTCACAGAAGTTAATTGTGCATTATTTTAATGTGAGAATTTAATGCGTGCCTTTCTCACGCATAATGGGTGCCCAGCACTGCATTTCATTACGCAAATATATGGTATTATTTTATGTTTCACTCATTTTTAATTTTTGGTCGACACATTATTTGATAGTTATTCTTCGTGTGAAATGTTTTAAAGTGTGCTTTTTTGTCTAGAAGCATATTGAGTGCCCGACATTGCATTATAAGACGCAAATATATGTTATTCTTTTCTGTTACGGCCATTTCAATTTTTGCCGGTCCGCGAGTACATTTAATCTAATTTTACCGGTCCGCCAGGGTAGAAAGGTTGGGAACCGCTGCGATAGAACACGTGGACGGCTTATTTGTGTCAAATAATATACGCTAGATTAAATAGAGAATTTTCGCGTAGTTTACACGGCGCTTGATTTCCCTTGCGCTTTAGTTGTTGAAGGTTGCCGGGAAAGCAGTTTTATCGCTTGTTTAATTCGAGAGCGGTTCTGCGTGAAACTCTTTTTCTTCACTATTTCTATTTCTCTCTTATCAAAAGCGGTTTCACGGACGATTGCGACACGTGATTTCACACTTTGCAAGCAAGTTTGCAGCGTGGTGGCTTACAAATCGAAGCAATAGAACACCTGAACGGCTTATTTGTGTCAAATAATATACGCTAGATAGAGAATTATCGCGTAGTTTACACGGCGCTTGATTTCCCTTGCGCTTTAGTCGTTGAAGGTATTATTTAACTTCTTGTATTGGTATGTTATAGATGGCTGGTTCTAGCGGTAAGAGCAAAGTATGGGAATACTTTGTATGCCACAGTGATGGTGTACTTTGTAAAATATGCTCATCATTGTTAAGTCAAGGTTCCGCCGATTCCAAAAAGAAAAACACCAGTAATTTGTGGAGTCATCTCAGATCGAAACACAAGAGCAAGTATGATGAGATTTCGCAGACGCAGTTAACGCGAAAAAGGCCAGCTGAAGCTTCCCAGTTTAATCGGCAACCTTCATGGGAACACATAATGGATAAATTTAATAAATGGCATGGAAATGACGCAAGAACGAAATCACTTGATAAAATAATAATGGAGATGATAGCCACTGACAACAGGCCATTTGCAATAGTGCAAGATGATGGATTCCGCAGGCTAATAGAAACCATTGAACCTCGCTACGCCCTAAAGACTGAGAAGTATTTCAGAACAGAAATGCTGCCACAAATATATGAACTTGTGAGCCAGAAAATAATGACTCTTCTCGTGACAGAAAATGCTGGCGATGGATTGGCATTTACTACAGACTGCTGGTCAGGACCAACAGAATCACTTATGAGCTTGACTGTTCATTTTATAAATTGTAATTGGGAAAGATTCCAAATTGTATTAAACATCAAGGCCATGCATGGCTCGCATACTGGAGAGTACATAGGAACCACTTGTTTGGATTTACTGCAACAGTGGGATATTGACAAGAACCGTGTGTTCCTAGTTCTTCGTGACAGCGGGGCAAACATGGTAAAGGGTTTAAATATGGTAGAACTTCCCAATCTAAGCTGCTTTGCCCATAGCCTTCAACTTGTTATTAATGATGGGCTCCAAGCACAAAGAGCTGTGTCTGACCTCTTGGCAAAAGTAAGGAAGATTGCCACACATTTCAACCATTCGGTTTTGGCCAAACAGCGACTACAAGATATACAGCAGTCGCTTGACCTGCCCGTCCATGCAATAGTGCAATCAATACCAACACGGTGGAACTCCGCCTTACACATGCTGCAGCGAGTTTTAGAACAAAAAAGATCGCTATCATGGTACTCAGTAGAGCATGGCCATATCCAAAATTCATTGCCCAATGAGCACGAGTGGAGTTTGATCGAAAATTTGATTGAGACGCTAGAGCCCTTCAACAGAGTTACTCTTGACATTTCAAGAAAGGATGCAACTATCTCTCTCATTATACCGAGTGTTGGCGTTTTGAAGCTGCTATTAGGATCTTCGGGGCCGGAAACCAGGGGTATAAAGTCCATGAGGGAGGTTATGCTTCGAAGTATCAATTCAAGATTTTGTAAAATTCAAGAAAACAGGCAGGCCATGCTGGCTTGTCTGCTGGATCCACGATTCAAAGATAGGGCAATTCTGGATGAAGCAAGCAAACAGCGGCAATACAATGGATGGAGGAAGAGTCAAATGCCTTAGCAGCGTCTACACCTACTGCAGAGCCTGAAGTGACACAGCCAGGTCCAAGCTCGCTTGATACTATGTTTGACTCGATTTTGCATCATGAAAGACCATCATCTGGTACAGGCAGTAGTCAGCTCCATCAATATATGCTGGAGCCAGTGGCTGACAGAAAGAAAACGGATGTATGCAAATGGTGGCATGACAATGCTTGTCGATTTCCTATCTTAGCTATATTGGCCAGAAAATACCTTTCGGCACCACCAACATCTGTTCCCAGTGAAAGAGTATTCAGCACCGCTGGGAATATCTATGCAGATAACAGATGTTCATTGCTTGGAGCCAATGCAGAAAAACTCTGCTTTCTCAACTATAACTTGAGACTGTTAAACTGGAGCTATTGAGATTCCATAAACTTACATAAGTGTTCTTTCTTTTTCACCATGCACACAATTTTCTTCAGCACTGTGGCTTTACACTGTTTGTTTCTAATATAAGGCGTTGAAAATCGCTATTCTTGAAAAAACTTAGTGATGCACAAATTTGCATTTTTTTATAATCATTGCATGAGTTTCAACATTTATTTCTTTTGCAAGAAAGACACAGAATTCTCAGAGTGTTAATTGTTACTTGTAGCAATTTTTTTATGTGAAGAAACATCGGTATCGTTATCGGCTTATCGGCCTAATTTTGGAAAACTATCGGTATCGGTTCAAAAAGGCAGTATCGGTCGGGCCCTAGTGCAAAGGCCATAGTGAATGTAATTATCATTAAAGGTAATGCGAGACTAACTACGAATTCTTCCCCAATGCCTTTGCGTTCATGGATCTGTATGCTTATAATGCTGTAGCAGAATTAAACATGACTATACCATGCAATTCAAGAGTCTTGCTGCACACTAACACAGATGTATTTCTGTAACGTTTCGTGTGACCATAATCAGACTAAATTTGCAGCAAGACTCTTAAAAATTGCAGTTTACAGTGAAGACAGTAATTTTGAATTCTAAATTTTTTAAACAACATCAGTGCTTTCAGTGATTTGTCATTTTATCAGAATTTCCTTTTTCCAGTTTCAAATATCAAAATCGTGTTTTTCCAAGTAAACATTCACCAAGGTCCACAATTCTATGCCTGTTCGTCTTGTTGACTTTCCTTTCTCCAGGATAAATATGAAAACCCTATACTAAATTCTGCAGAATTTCGTTTATCCGTGTACTTTTATTCTCCAAGGAATTACCGATAAAAAAGTTGCCTCACAACAAACTCAATCAAAACCAGTATTAAAGAAATGGTCAACGTCTGAACCTGCTGAGAATAAAAACAGGAGATCAAAAACTGCAAAAATTCGAAACTATAACATTCAAGATGATGAATTCGCGGAATTACAAAGCAAGCGCTCATGATATGCATTCTCTATAAATGACTTTCCAGTTTAGTTTCAATATTATATTGCTATCTGACTGAATTGGTGTTCAATTTTGAATTTCTGGGGTAACAGTTTAATTTATATTGATGGTTGTTTATCATTTTGCTGAGAATTACAAAAAAAAAATTAACCATTGTTATTGACTAAATAAGGCATTGAGAGTCTCTGGAAGAAAAAAAGTTATTAAAAATTTCACATGTAACTGCACTGCACATATGCTATCGCAATATCAAAGGAATTTATCATTATCACGATTCACTTTAAAATATATCATGAACTATATCAATTTCTAATTTTCCAATACCCTCAATATATGCCCATAGTTATATTTAAAAACGTCAGATTGACAATTCTTTTTTCTGGAAATAGGTAGGCTGATAGTTGAAGTTGCAGGAAAAGTTACATTTGTTCAACCATTAACTGGAGTTGGTTAAATAAAAGTCAAAATGAAACTACAGACTCATGAGGTTCATCCTAAAACGCCCATTTTGTGGCTCAAAATATGATTTATATTAATAGCGGTATTAGCTGGCCGATGAATCGGTATCGGTGTCAAAAAGTGATATTAGTCAAGCTTTAAATACAAACATCCTTTTTCAAGTAGTTGGCTAGCAAAAAGTTGGATTTAACGTGTAACTGTTAAAAAGGTGTCTTACGTCAGTAGTGTTTTGTTGGTATGAATGTGCTATGACTTATTTGGGGACTTGCCCTGTTTACAAATTGATGGGATTTATTTGCTATTCATCAAAATTGCCGAAATTTTGCCAATACTGTATATTAGACAGAGGCCTGTTCGTGGATAAGACACCTACTTTTCCGTCTTTATGTGAGTTTTTTTTTATTGATGCATTTTATTGCTAAATACATATTTTTTTAAGAAAATATATTCAAATCTAAGCAAAACTTTTTCTTTATATTTTGAAAATGATTGAACAGTTAGACAACAAATAGTAGGAGTACAAAGTGATGATTACAGCATCCGCATAAAGTATTGGTCTCAAACTGTGCACGTAGAGCTTTTCGAATTAAGATCAAAGCAATTGTGTTTAGTCCATAAACTGCAAGGTTTTTTATGGTTTTTGACAGTGATTCTTACTTAACCCCTTTCTCGACACGTTTCCCCCAAGGGTGGGTTCGCGCGAAACGAACTCTGTGAGACAGCTGGCGAAGGGTTGGTGTAGCTTATGAACAAGTTTTTTGGATAAGGTCACAGAATGAGGGTGAAAACTATAATCCGATTTCTGTATTATTAGAATCCAAATACTCCAAAGAAACGGAAAGCGCACAACAATACCTGGCAGTGAAATGTAAGAAAGCAACATACACCATAAAAACACTAAACTAGCTTCTTACAATTTGCAAAACAGGCTGAAAATTAACTTATGACAGGCATTTTAAAAGACGATAAAAAATTGTATATGTGCACAGCATTTGAACAGTACTGATGATAGCTAATTGAACTGCAATGGCATCGCACACAAACCACAACATGATCCCACTGTCCAGCACAAAACATTCACCCAATCCAACAGTCACAAACAAACATCCCCAATCACCCACCTGAGACCAGAGGCACTCCCACAGACACTCATGACCAGAATCCAACCGAAAAACAACCACACTGTACCGGTACCAACCACACCATAGCATAGGCTTACAGAACACCAGAGGACAAATCGACATTCGTCAGTGACTTCAATGTTAAAGATACAAAATATAGCACATGACAGCATTTAACAGATAAAACAAGGGTTGTCACACGTGCAACTAACAAGTTTGGAGAACTTCTCAGATACGGAAAGCTGTGCAAACATCTGGAATAATAAGTGTCTGACATTCATCCAATTAGGAGAGACGTTTACGCTGGCTGAACCTCAATAAAAAAAAAATTGAAAATCCTCCAAACCGCTGGCTTCACTGGTCCGCAAAGAATTTTGTTATCTTGCTTCGCATGTATTCGAATGAATATCAGAAAGTTTCGGATTATCGTGCGGAATGTCGATCAGATGGAATGCACGAAATCGTACTTTGCAATGTCGTGTCCCGTGTGCCACACTTCACACTTGGCCCGATTTTCCCACTTCTCCAATGCCTGTACTATCACTTGCCATATAGCCTAACTAGTTCCATTCTTGTATATTTCACTTATTTAACACAAATGTGGGACAAGTAGAACAAAATAATTTTAACACTCTCTAAGCTCCCTTCATCTTTTACCAATGGAAAATCTCTCATCTTTGGTTAAAGCAATACTTTTATGTCACTTATCATAAACGTTTTAAATTTTCGACACTTGACAATTCGCAATACCTTGTACCGTCGCCGGTATGTATACCACTATGCTTGAAAATATTAATCGGACTGTCAAACTTATTTCATGGCTAAATTCAAAGGTTTAATTATGATTAGAAGGACGTATTGAAATGTGAACAAACCTCATTATAAATAATGTTTTTGCATTCAAGTTAATTTGTTTGGTCAAAATATTCAGAAAATTCATATAATTTATCCCCTGACAATTTTGCTTACCTATTTCTTTAAGATTATTTTAAAACTTTGAATTCCCATATATATCTATTAAATCTATTTTCTGAATCCAAAGTGTTATTCATTCGTTTGGTGTTACGTATTTCATTAGAAAGAGAAAGATGGAAAGCGTATACACATATGTTATTTCGATCACGCTATGCTGCGGGCTGTAAGTACTCACTACTCATACTTAGCATCCTTAGCTGCGAAACATAAAAAAGCAAATTTCCTGGTAGCGGAAAATGAGTTGGCAATTTGATACACGATTTCGATATTTACTGGACTGTATGTAAGTCTACTGTCTTTTTTCTTCAGACTTTCGTTTGCATTTATCCGCACGCCCTGCCCCCACAATGGAAGACGCCATGAACGGCCAGAAGTAAGATTCTGCAGCATCTATGTTCAGCCTAATTCCATTTTGTGAATACATTTATTGTTTTGCTCAACAATTAGTATATATAGATTGGATTATGAGTGGATTGCAAAATCAATATGATGTTGTCAAAAATTTAGAACTTATTTTTAACTCTTGGTTCGTTTACGGGTAACTTTTGGCTCATGTTATAAATTTCAACAGTCAAAATATTTGACTATAGGTCTGATTTTCTGAGGCTCAATCTCATCTACATATATATATATATATATATTTCATTTTGGGAATTACTTCTTTGACAAAACCAGCGCCATCATGTTCATAATTGTCACTCTTATTCCCATCATTATCTGAAAGAATAAATCGAAGCAATTTTCTGCATAAATTCTTAGCTAATTTAACAACGGAAATCCATTTCCGAGGGAAGATGTTGCACCTGTGCAACACTAATTCCAATTCCCTCTTTCATGAGATCATATGAACCTTTGCCATCAAATTGTCCAGATTCTATGAATAACTATACACTAAGGTTACCATATCTAAATAGTCAAAATCCCTGACAAAATTTTAATGAGTCATGTTGACCAATTTTGAAACCAAAACACTTATATTATGGTATAAAATCGCGATGTATCCAAAGGCACTAGCTGTCGTGAGAATGGAATAAATACAGAGCAAAATTGTTTCATTTTACTATATAAAATGCAGGTTGTTATTGCTGACAATAATATATATATATATATATATCTGAGCCAAATTTCGACCACCGTTACCACCGTTAAAAATCAGATGGCCGGTTGTGCGTGGAATATTGACTATATCTTATCATACGCAAATCCTCTTAACAGTCGCTTAATTTCATTTAAGTATTTTTTTCTTAAAAATAACTAGTACGATCCGGATGCGGATCATGGAACGGGTAACACATTTCCAGTTTCGTTCATGATATGAGAGAATTGTGGGTGAAGAGTTTCGTTTTGAACATTGTGTTCATATATATATTTATTTGAGCATGGCTTTCTTGCTGTTTAAAGACTTAATCCTGGACTTCAACTATAGATACGTCATGCTGTCATTGCTTGGTTCGTTTCAACCTGCTGCTTTTTAGAAATAGAAATAGCGTAATTTGGTGCACATTCGAATTATCTTGGTTGAATTTCGCTAATTATGACAAAAATATTACTATTGTAACTCGGGTTCTATAAATTAGGACAAAACGAGTTGGTACAACAATTTATACTCTGGCTCAGGGGTCACCAAACTACGGCCCGCGGGCCGGATCCGGCTCGCGGCGTCATTTTATCCGGCCCGCAATAACACGCAAAATGGCTAAACACCTTTGTTACCCTGACAGATATTCAGCCGTGGTTGTAAAGCGTAAACGAGAATATCGGTCAGAGACTGAAGACTTATCGGAGATCCCCCAAAACAGCGCTCTCACTCCATAGTGACACCTCGTGTCCCATCACTAATTAATTAATAACTCGCTAATTATACGACATAGTCTTTTCATGGTTAACTGAATATAGTTCGCCCACGGCGCTTTCGCTACGCATGAGCGATGCGTTGCTACGTCATCAGTTTGCTATATACTGAAGCTTATGGTAGAGGATTTCCTTTTAAATTTATTTGCGTATTTGGGATGGTTTTATTGATGGAAATAACTGAAAATATATACTGAGGCATTAGGATAAGGTAGGGGGTCGTGGCATCTGTCAGTCATCCCTGCGTTGGTACCATACCGTAAGTTGTGGAAGTGGGGTCAGGGAGTAGGGGCATAGTAATTGAAAGTTTATACCAGAATTATAGCACAGTACTATGAATTTAGATATTCCCAGGGCCTACAGAAGTACCGGTACTGATACTGTATTTTTTCAGATTATCCGGTACCGTCCCAGATAGCACAACTACGTTGGGCCAACGTTTTAATCCGCCGGCAACCGTTGTACGCGGTTTTACCATAGCCAATGGCTCTGGTTTTACAACCATTTACCATGGTAAGGCCATGATTGGCCTTCAAGGAAACACGCCATTATGCGAAGAACTGGGCGCGCGATTCGAATATAGCACATGAGGTCGCCATTAATTTTGGCGGTACTCGTAATGGATAACCTGTTACGAGGTTTTTGCCTGGATGGGACAGTGACATTGAACTTTTAAGGCTTTCATAGTAGAATGGCGAAAGTAGAGATAGCCTAGTTGTAACCGTGTAAGTTAATCTCATGGTACCGGTACCCTAAGTGCGTTGTCAGGTCACGGTTCATAAGGGTGATAGGGTACGGTACCATACCGGTAAAAGTTACATATTTATCCCTGGACACCGTAGGTACCGGTAACGACAGAATGAGATGAGGTCCGATACCGTACGGTACTTGGTCTTTTGGCATTTTTTTGTTAAACTTTCTTAGGTTGCCATCTCTCATTTACCAGTATTCGTTACCGGTATCGAGTACCGGTACCTATGGTAGATACCGGTAAAAGTTACATATTTATCCCTGGACACCGTAGGTACCGGTAACAACAGAACGAGATGAGGTACCGTACTTGATCTTTAAACTTTTTTAGGTTGCCATCTCACATTTACCGTACCAGTATTCGTTACCGGTATCGAGTACGGTACCTGTACCTATGGTAGATACCGGTAAAAGTTACATATTTATCCCTGGACACCGTAGGTACCGGTAACGACAGAACGAGATGAGGTACCGTACGGTACGTTACCGTACTTGGTCTTTTGGCATTTTTTTGTTAAACTTTCTGAGGTTGCCATCTCTTATTTACCAGTATTCGTTACCGGTATCGATACCGGTATTGGTCCTTCATCCCTGGATATGATTTTTTATATTTACTTTATTTGTCTAAGTGCAAACATTTCCGCAGCCCAAATCCAACCCGTTGAACGACTTAATCCAGTAATCTGAATAGTTGTACATTTGTGAACCTTCTGTCTGATGAATTTCAACAAATGTAAATACAGATCTCAATTGGCTGAAATCTAAAATATGTTTTAACAATTGCCACAATCCAACTGAAACTAAAATTTGATGTTTTTGGGTAAAAAATAGCTCAAGGATTATTGTTTTCCCTTTTTGTTTTTGTAACAATTCAAATAAAATTTTGTTTCTAAAGTATAACTTTTTACGCCACACATGCAAGATGCGACATGGCCCACCAGTCTAGGTGCGCAAAATTTTTGCACGTGGTCCGAGAACTTTGCCCAACCCTGCTCTAGTTCATATTTTCAGCTTTGTTGAGAAATAAATTACTGATTTTTGAATAATATCTATTTTGTTTTAAAATTCAATAGAATTATATTGGGTAATCATATATATTTATATGATTTATTTTCAGTATGTATGCTATGAAAGCTTACCCAACCAACCTTAATTGAGTGTTATTATATTTTAAAGTGAATTGGAAAGTAGACCGCTAGCAAAAAAGATTCGGGCGATTGGGATGAAGCCCATCTCTGTACAATGACTGCCAAATGTGCATGCAACTGTGCAATGCCCAGCGACTCTAAAAGCATGAAGTATTGTACGACCAGGGATGGCCATTTCCGAATACTGAACTATTCCGAATACATTCTAAAATAATGTTTTCGAATCTGGAATTCCGAATACATTCTAAAATCGAAAATACCACATTTTTGTTTTAGTTTATTAAAACTCAGTAAAATAGGGAATAAGCTTCAAAATAAAAATAAGAATAAAGCCACAAACCAACAGTATATGTACACAAAGTAATTGATAGTTTATAGCTACCAATAAAAATAATAGCAACTTGTGTCACAGTCAGTTTATTAAAATTGTACACATAGTATAAATGACCATATGAAAAGATAGCCAAAGAGTTGTCTGACGCTTTCTATCATTGGTACCATGATATTACGATAATAGTCAAGTCTATTGACAAAAATACTACTTGTATTCAGTAATAGTGTATATTTTCTAAGAGTAAAAAAATGCATTGGCAATACAGGCAACTGGAGCAAGCAACAACAATCGAATATCCATTATGCCTTTACAAATTCTAATATTTAGGCCGAGAGTATTCTACTACCTACACCAGTATATTCGGATATTAATTTATGTGAACCATATTGTTATTATGTGTAGCATATCGTTATGTCTGAAATTAGCAATAAGTTGGGAGGATAGATGACCACCATTGCCAGGCGCGCAGCCAGGATTTTTAAAATCGGAAACTCCCATTGCCACCTCTAACAGCCACCGCCATTCCGCGCTCGTTTCAGCGTATAATGATCATCCTGTCACATAAAATATTCAATCCATGACAACTACCAGATTCTAAAATATCGTTATATATTAATTTTATGAGTCCAACGTAACTCGCGGTTGCTTCTTCTTACGTCAAAATAAAAACATTACTATTCGGTCGACAGCGATCTGTGGCCTAAAATTACGAGTTAAACCGCCTGATGTATTCAATTTTAATACGTATTTTTGCAATCTCACCAACTCGTTATCGCCGTTAAAAAAATCTCAATAACTGATATCAAATCCTGTAGAGTACAACTTCATTTCATACAATGAATATACATATAAAGTTTAGCAGTAAATTAAAAATACATATCGCCGCGATTACTCCACCTGTTAAGAGAGCCGACTTTTACAACGAATAATATAACAACGAATATATATTTTTCTGTTTTGCAAAGTGATTGATTCGTGACCTATACGGGCATATTTAAAATGTCTGGCTTTATTAATTTAATTGTTAATTTAACCTGCGGTTGCGTCAACAAAATAAAATCCATACCACTCTAATATACCATTGCAATCCGCGGACATAAAAATAAAAATGTGTCGTAAACTGCCCGATTATATATTGTTTTGATCCGTATTTTGCAAATTCGGCAAATTTGAGATGTGTTCCGATTATTTTTAAGATAAAACCGTTCGAAAAATCCATAAAGCTGCCGTAAAATCTCAGAGTAAAATTGATTTCCGCACAATAAAAATTGAATATTCTTTAGATTAATTATATTATATACATTCTCACAACCCAGTAGAAGTCGCGTTTCAAACCTTGTATAATGTTAACACAAAAATTTTCGACTGCAATTTAATTAAAGTAATAGATAATCAGGCAAATCCCGCGCTCAATTAGTGACGGTATGTTTCTAAACGCGGACCAAAGATAATGTGGAAATTTTGCGATTTTCACTGCCTAGACAAGCGTTTTTAAACTGTCACGGGATTCAACAAAACTTTAAATAAAATAATAAAATAAAATTTTTTGTTTACGGTTTCATTTTCAGTATTTTAAATTGCTGCTTTTCAATCAAAAAATTTGCGTTTTCTTTAGAAACTCGCCGCCGATGAACGTATTCACCGGATTCACAATTCCGTGCGAGTACAAAAATAAAATAATTGTCATCCTTATCGTGAAACAAATTTGTGGAAAATTTGCGTTTTAGAGAAAATAACACAAACGTAAAGGCGTTCACGGCCTAAATAATACGTCCGCTGATGAAGCAATCGCGCACAAGTTCCTATCGAGAATGTTTCATTCAACAAGAGCGGCGTCGAAAATGTGTGACGTCATACGAATATCCGATATTCTTATAAACGCTAATTCCGATATTCGAATGACGAGATATTCAAATACATTCGAATACTTTATTCGAATTGGCCATCCCTGTGTACGACACATCCTTTACAAATATTTGGACATATTTTGTGTAATATCCATTTTTTTCCGGTTATTCTAAATAATTATTACCGATTAGATATTCTGTCAAGTGTCAATATTACCATTGTAAGTTTAATGATATATACCATTTTTATAATAGGCCCTATGACAATGGACTGGAAAATTCACCTGCTTCAGTTCCCTCTTTCACAAAATCATACACTGTTTCATTTCAAGCATCTCAATGTTTCAATGCGGACAATGCCCAAAACAGGTGTTTTTGTTTTATAGTTTGATAGTAGCTCCTTGCATATCTGTGCCATAAAATATTGCACAATAGCTAGATATATCGGTTGAATAATTACCTAGTACAACATCATGTGGTTAATATCGTATTTTCCGGCGAATAAGCCGCTTTTCTAGACCCAAATTTTTGGCCTGATTTTGGGGGGGGAGTCGTCTTATTAGGCGAGTATGATCATTTTCATTTTTTTGTCGCCTTATTATTGAATCCGGACAATAAAATACCTTCGGCGATAGTATCTCCCACGACCTCATCAGGTTAGTTTAAATAAATCGACATTCTCGTGCTGTGAATCTGAAATTTCAATGCTGTGATTATCATATTTGCATTATCATATATGGACTGAATATTACGCTACAAAAAAAAGTCATAGGCTATTTTAACCAATGCGCAAACGCGGCGACCGCTCGAAAGGCATTGCATGGTAATTTGAGATTCCCGACATTGATGCGATTTTACTACCCCGACTTATCGGCCGCTTATATGCAAAAACCCATTTTTTCAGGCTTAAAAACAGGCCTCGACTTATTCGCCGGAAAATACGGTAATTATTATTAATGAAAAAGTTCTATTCTGGTAATTAGTATAGGCCATTCGTTCACATTTATCATCTGAAAGACAATCATGTACTATATATTGTGTAACACTAACTTGATTTTCAGAGATCAAGCCATGCTCCAATCCAGTCCATGGAAAAATTGTTGGGACAGGCGGTAGAAACTCTTATGCTACAAGCTACGGCATCTGCAACTTTCCACTGATTATAGTGAAAATTCGGACATACAGGAATTGATGAAATTCATAGTCAATTCATTGTCTGATTACATTTTGATCCAGAATACATTCAAGGATGAAAAAATGGCTCGTAAGTTGAATACTTTTATAGGCTGATTACATATACTTTACGGCGGTGGTTCCCAAACTTTTTTTTCCGCGACCCCAATTTTTGTAAAATCACAGACTACAGATACTTGCGACCCCACAACGAGAAAACATTAAAAATCAATTTATTCTATTTAATCATTCTGATGAAAATCGACTGTAAGTTTGCGGGGCATTGGTGTAACGTGGTTGTAATTAACTGTTTAGTTCAGTGGTTCCCAACCTTTTTACCCCAGCGGCCAGCGGGCAAGCAAAATTAATTTAAAAGAGTTCGCTGACCAGTAACACATGCCATCGTATGAAGACCACGATGTAAAAATCTCTGAGATTCAGAATATTTGTTTAGTTTTAGTACAATGTTAAAATATTGCAGATTACTCCATAATTAATTGGAAAGCTAAACAGAACATGAAAGTAAAATAGGTGAAAATACCTTTGCTGGGTCTCATCTTATTGAGTGCCTTTTATTTTTTGTCGTTTTGTTTTTGACTGCATGAAGCGCTTCGAATTTATGTATGACCCCATATTTTCGCTTCGTGTTCAAGGAAGATTATTTAAATGTCTAAATACGATCCGATTGCAATATTGAAATTGTTCACTTTTATACGAATGGGATGTGGACAAAACGCATATGTGTATATTTTAGAGTAGATACTCGCGATAATTAACATAGAGCTTTTGCAACGGATGGAAACCTACTCATTAGATGCATTCTTATAATTGTGCTTATTTACTCATTCCAGATAAGATATTTGTCAAGTCTCGGAGGTTGCTCCAAGAAAGACTGGATTGGAGAATCATGAGCTCAGTTATAACAAATTTACTCGCCCGCTCTTTCAACTGTGCAGGACGCGGTGGATAAGAAGGAGTGAGTGGGACGCCCTTAGTTTCTGCTATTAAAGGTACCGGTATGTAATATGTTTATCATATTGTACCACCATCTTTCTCTGCTCTACCCTCTTCTATTTTATAAGTATAAGATTATTTTGACTCCAAATCAGCTTAAGATAATTCATGAGGGAAATGAACAAAAATTGATTAAATAGAATCTGACAATCTGGAGTGAAAACAAAACCTTAATTAAGATTGAAGCGTAAAGGATATAAGGTTTTGCCAAAAAGATGCCTATCGTGTTCATGAATTAAATTAAGTTACACACACACAACAACAACAGAGATATAATAAAATAAAAACAGGCGAGAAAATTCAGATAAGTTTGGTACTAAACAAAATGTACTTGGCAGTTGCCACACCATTCATTTTTATCATTATGATTGTCAAATTGAATAATGATTTTGTAAACAACTGTGAACAGTATAGAAAAATATTTATTAAGGAGATATCGCCAAGCTGATTATGGTTAGAGTCAAGTGCCAAATTGCCAATCCAATGTTGCCAGAGTTTGGTGCATAATGGCGAACAGTGGTTTTCGAACTTATTTGTATCATCGATTCCTTACAGTACTTTTTACATTATCATCCTCCCCTAGCACAACAGCAAATGATGAAGTTACAAATAAATTTATTGTAAATCAATTAAACAAATAGACTACGGTAATCATGGTGCATGATGTTTCTGATAAGATAGATGAATTTCAACAAGGAATATTTGAAGACATTTTGGTCAGATAAAATCTCAAATCATCATTATTCCCTCCAACAAATCTTCCCCTCAAAACATTGTCTACGCCCCCCTTGCGGAATCAAGAATTTCTGTATTTCTCAATTATTTTTGTCTTGTCAATGTAAGCTTCACTCACACATTTGCGACTGCAGAAACTTGGCTTAAGATTCCTACTCTGAAAATTTGTTGGGATGCAGTCATTCAGACTAGGCTTTAAACTCTGGTGCTGTAATTTGCTAATACTGCAATTTAACACAGAATTTTTATATTTTTCAGCTCTGGATGATCTGGCAACGAACTCCGATTAATTTTATTACATGTATACATATTTGTAAAATAACGACATTTTGTTATCTTTTGTTTTTTATTATATAAATAATGTTAGATTAGTGGGAAATTTCTATGTAGTATAGATCCATACCCTGTCTGTACAACACATCGCCTAACTTGGCCCGACCATGTGCCACGATTGTATTACAACGTGTCACCTACGTAGGCCCGGCCATATGTCACGATCGTGTTACAACGTATCGCCCACGTTGGACCGGCCATATTTCACGATTGTGTTACAACGTATCGCCTACGTTGGCCCGACCGTTTGTCACGGTTGCATTACAGCGAAAGGACCGACGTTGGCCCAGCCGCCAAATCTTCGCTGGAACATGGTTGTTCGCCATTATTGGGCCGGTGGTTCGAACAACGTTCGGCCATGGTTGTTCCGACGTAGTTGTGCTATCTGGGGTATCAAATCAGCCCCTCAGCCTAAGATAAGGTTCGAATGTGCAGCTCTAAGATTTTGGAGTATCTATATTAAAAGAATGGATGGAGTGCTTCAGTCGCAATAAAAATTACTAGCTAATTATTGGTTAAATACTGAAGTACTGCTGTGTAGCAAAATCTCTTTTCAAGTCCCATGTTTTGGCAAACTCAGAAGCTGCAAATTTATTGAAAAACAAAGAAAAATGCCTGAAATAATTGTAAGTGAAAAAGAAGATCTGAAAATGGTCTGTTGTAATCTGTTTAAGTTTTTTCAAACCTCGATAATATCTAGCCAGAATGAGTTTCTTTTTAGTATATTTATTATTGCGAAAATAAGTTTGTAATACTACTAAACTGCATTTGTCATGCTGGTGAAACAGTTTCACCACATTCTAACCTCGTATCCACTGATATATAGTAGCATATATATATATATTTTTCTCTCCATATATTATTATTCACCATCGCCTAATGCCGATAGAAATTTATTTGTATTCATGACTTAGGTATTAATTGACTTCAAAATTGCCTAATTACTGAAATACCAGAATATGTAATTCTGAGTCAGCTGTTACGAATCAAAGTAAACTAGTAAGCTATACTGAGATGCTGGAGTTTTTTTAGAATGAAAATTAACTTTGCTTGACACACCTTTTGATAAGTCGTTTTGGTCACCACACCTTTTAGTTTTAATAACCCGAAAGTCGAAGGGGTTCTTCAGTCATTTTTACTCGTATTTTACCTTCAATGCAGAATACTATTTAAATTCTCTATCGAAGCATATATTTATTTGCTGCATCAATTATTCGAAATGGCCACCAATACTGACACAGTGAATACTTGACACCAGACGTGATAGACGAGTTGATGCATACTAAAATGGATGGGGTAGGTGCAATAAAGGGTTGACTTCAGAACGGAGGAACTATCTCTATATCAGTTAAATCTGTACATGGTTTGATGGAGAGTATACATTCGGATGTACAGCTTTTGGCGTGAATACGTTAAAAGGGTGGATGGAGTGCTTTGATTGCAATAAAAATCGGGAGTTATTTGTTGGTCAGATACCAAAGTACTGTTGTAAAACAAAATATTTCTTCAACTTCCATGTTTTGACAGGCTCAGAAGCTGCAAATTTATCAAACGAAATTATAGAAAAAGTTGATAACAAAGAAAGAAGAAATGCCCGAAAAAATTGCGAGTGAAATAACTAGATCTGGAAATGATATCTTCCTTAGAGATGCAATTTTGTAAAAAAAATGAATTCCGCGGTAATCCAGAGAATGCCTGCCACACTTCTCAAGGATCGTTGATACCCCTCATGAACAAATGATCAGATTCACTTCCACTCTTGTGCCCATCTCCAGAATACTTGTTATTCATTCAGCGGTTCCATTACATTTGAACCCACGTACATTTGAATCCATGACAATTGCACCTGTATGCTATTGCACCTATGGAATTTTTTTTGTTTCACGGTTAGTTAAACCCATACTAACCCTAACCAATGGGTTTTAGCACCCGCATATAGATTGAACCCGTGGATATACGCATGGGTTCAAATGTACGGTCACCTCATTCAGCATATCTACATTGAATTTTCCAAAGAAGCTTGTGAAAATCCCAATAATATTTAGTTTAATACAGTTGCTGCAGATGTTTTTGCTGGACAATATTTCAGAAACTTTGTAATACACATTGGAAAGCAGTGTGATGTAGAATTGTCAGATGATATAGAACGAGTGATATTATACGAATATTGTCTTACACATTTACAAAAAAGCTTTTTTTACATATGCTAGAATCTATTTTGCTTTCTTTTCAATTCGCTAATGCTTTGGCCGAAATAAACTGTACTTCAATTGAATCCACCGCGGACTGGAATAAGATGTTGGCCCTTCGAAAAGGGTTAGGTATTTTATTCCTAATATGAGGGTTGAATAGATGGTATTATGGAGGTGACATGTTTGTATTTAAACTGCCGGCCGATATTGGTAACAAGCCAACACCACGACAAGGTTTCGACCACTGTGTTGGGATTTATCCTTGCATAGATAGGCAGAATCGCTATGCAAGGAAAACACATGAATGAACGACTAACTTGAATTTTTTTCGTGATTTTTTTAATCGGGAGAGGATCATTGCACACTGTTGTCCGACCATTCGCTTCCCCATACGTGGTTGGTTCAAAAAATTAGTTAGGAATAAGAAAAACTTCCATACCATGATTGTAGGGTTTTTCTACTTACTATCCATGATTCACAATAAATAGATACCTTTGAAAATTGAATGAAATAACACTTTACAAACTTAAAGCATAACAGCATCTACTATACACAGTATGACATCGAAAATTCTTCTCTCATAAACATTTTTACTATCAATAGACAATGAGTTCCACTCAGCATGACCAATAACATTTGGAGCAACATTAACACAATTTTGTTTGAAAAATGTCTCTAACATAAATGATATTTCCTTTTATCCAATTCTCTACATGTTCTGGGTAAATATACAATGGGATAAGAGGATTCCACCACAATATTTTATTCACTATTTATATTTTTATCAAATACAACTTTTCTTGAAAAGTTCAAACTTTATTGGTTGATTTTACTATTTTTAAAATTATGATTAGAAAGATGAAGCGTTTCTAAATTTTAGGTCACCAGCCGTTTTCCATAATTATTTATAAATACTCTTGCTCTTGGGCCCCAATAAATTTTAGTAACCAAAATATTCATTTAATTTGAATATTTTTAATTTGTGTTACCATATCCATACAACCTAATCCACAATACGGTTTACTACAGCAATATATTTTTCTAGTCACTAACTTACGTTTTCCATCCCACTGTCCCATATAAAACTCCAAATTAGTTTAGTGACATTTTTTGAAATATCCATTGCTGCATTGGGACACATTCAAATGCAGATAGGTACCATACCTTTGATAACATAAAAGTCTTGGCCATAATAATTTTGCCAGTCATGATCTTATTTCTGTTTTTCAAAATATTGAATGTCTGAATGTGTTACAGATTTTTTCTTGCACTTAAACTCAACTTTCTTCTATGGCATTTTCAGTATTTCCCATTCACGAACCAAGAATTTTTATTTTATCTTTAGATACTGTAATCCCACAAATTCCAAATAGTTGGTTTTGCTTTAAAGGTCGCAAAATAAAATCTGTGATTTTCATTATTAATCCAGTAATCAGTGTTCCAATCCTCTTACACTTACAGTCTTCCAATCCTAAATTTATCTGCTAAGTCAGTAAGTATCCATTCGTGAGAATAGCAGCGTTAGTTTTGCTACACAGTGTTTTTGTCATAGATATGAAGTTTTTTTTCCAAACTTGAATCGTTCCATAATTCTCCATAAAAATATCCGGGTCTAGTGAATTAACCGCCCACTTTTCGCTTTATTGTTTTTTGTCTGCGGTTGGATGTTTATGAGTCAACAATTTTATCCTGTCTACCGGTATCGTATCAGGAGCTAAGAATATCTTTGAATTCGGTGTTTTCACGATCCCCAGATCCTCCGTCGGCCATATCTCCAATCGCTCCGTCCTTTTTCCACGAATTTTCTTCGGATCGTTTGTGAGGTGTATGAATCTTCTCTGTTTTTTCTTCAATCCATTGGTCAGTATGCTCATTATTTTATTCTTTTGCGTCATGAGATATAACGGTTCGTTTCTTTCGTACCTTTCATAATCGGGGTTTTCGCCTTTTGAGTGTCCACAGACAGCCCCTATGCCTTCGTTTGACATTGTTACTTTCCCCCCTTTTTCAAGAATTTCTTGCAGTTTCCTTTGGGGAAGCCACTCTCCGAATTGTTTCCACACTATGTATTGAATGTCAGTCCACGGGTGAATTCCTTTTTGTCCATGTTCACAAATCTTGTGTCGAAGATGATAGACTATGAAACGGGATATTTCATCATTCCCTTTTAGTTTTTGTCCCGGTAGGGTCGCTGCTGCCGCGGGCCAAACTCCCGGGTCTTCGTCATCCACGGCCATTTCCATGCAACCTGATCTCGACAGTCCATCTGACGTGAATACTTCGTGAGTAGTCCTATGTATCGCCTGTTCGATTGGGTATACTGATAATTCATTTAACCAGCGCAGCACAAGATAATCTTGACTGGGTTGCTTGGGTTGTTGCATCTTTCTTAATAATCCCAAGACTCCCATATTATCTGTCAGTGTTGTAAACGAAGTCCCTATCAATACCTCTTTAAATTTCCGTACTGATTCGCGCAGGGCCTTCAACTCCTTTTTGCAAGGGTCATAAGCTCTCTGGCATTGAGTCTTCCACTTTTGGCTGTAATAGGCGAGAGGATAAACGTTTTTTGAGTGAGGTCCAATCTCATTAATCGTTGTTTCCGGTTTGGTTTGAAATAATATGGCGCCAAATCCCTTTTCACTTGCATCTGTTTCCAGATACGTTTTGTATTCGGGTTTGAAATGATACAATTTCTCTGTATTACTGACCGCCTGTTGGGCGATTTTAAAGTCGTCCAACAACTCTTCCGTCCATTCCAGTGGTGTGACTTTTCCTCTCGTAGAAGGAACATTTCCCGTCCTTTCGTCAAACCGTGTCAATATTAGGCTTAATCTTGGAATGTGGTTGGCCAGGTATCGTAGCGCGCCAATCCATCCACGCAGTTCGTTTATATTCTTTGGATGTGGTATCTCTCGAAGTGCTCGTATTCTATCAGGTTGTACTAACACTTCGTGTTCTGTCACGGTTACACCAAGGACGTTGATCCGTTTTTTCCCAATCCAACACTTGTTTATACTTATTGTTAATCGCATTTTCACCATTTGTTCAAACAATATTTTCAACAAGACGAGGTGATCTGCAATAGTTTTGGTTGCTAGAACCATGTCATCTATATACACTTTGATTGGCTCAGCATTTTCTTCATCCGTTCTTTCCATTTCTCGAATTCGATCTCTATAATCTTTCGTCACAGGCTTTTCTATGCATTCTAACATGTTTGCAGACCATAATGCTGGTCCAATCTTTATTCCAAACGGCATTTTTCGAAATCTAAGTAGTTCATTCTTCACTGCAATACCCAAAAATTCTCTAGATTTCTCGGGCACTTCAATATGGTAGTAAGCTTTCTTTAGATCCAACAAACTCAGGACCGGTCGTCTTTGCGCCATAGTGAGCACATCTGGTATCAACGGAGGGGCTATTTCTATCCCCTTGATCGCAGCATTTAAAGGTTGCAGGTTCTGTACTACACGCCATGCTTGTTCGCTATTCGGGTCTTGTTTCTGACGTTCGTTCATTTTTTGCGGTACAACGAAAATGGCCAGTTTCCATTGCGCAAATCCCGTTTCTACAACTCCCAGATTCTTCATGAGTTGGATTCCGTCTTCTAACGCCTTTTGCTGCTTTTCTCCTTTGAGGTTATAAGGTCCTGACACGAACGGTTTGGTATTTGGGTCCTTCAATTCTATTGAACACTTATATTTCATTACTTGTGGTTCATTCAAGTGTTTTTGGAGATTTTCCAGTTCTCCTGCGTAGGGTTCGTAAATCTTTTTCCATTCTTCTTCAGGGATCAGCTCGTTCTCTTTTGTTCCTAAGTCGGTCGGCGTATATACTTCTCTGGCCAACGCAATAGCTTTTCCCTCAAGCTTCTGTAATGCCTTCTTCACCCACTCTGAAGTTTCTTCCGACAATACGTATTCTTTTATCGGTTGTGACAAGTACCAGCACTTGGGTTTCACAGGCACGTTTTCCGTTTGATTCAGTTCGGCACTGGGAGATAAATGTGATGCATCCACTTTACCTCGAGATTTTGTTTTTGGGTTTGTCGATCGTAAGGATTCTGGTCCCGCACTTTTGCCCTGGGACTTTAACTGTTTCGTTTCCGCCCGAAACATCGGCGTTTCTGTTTTTGATCGACTTCCCATTTGTCGGGACATCCTCTCATTTTGGTTGTCAAGAGCCCAAGGCCACTCTGACTCTGTATTCTCGGCCCAAAGCCACGGCAGTCCCACGTTCGCCTGAGACTCCGGCGATTCTGTATTATCAGCCCAGAAATTCGGCAGTCCCATTTTACCCGCCTGGGACTTTGGCGTCGGATGTCTTTGTCTCCCATCGTCTTGAAGATCGTCACCTTCGTGTTCGATGGCCAATGCTGCACTACTCAAATAAGAATTTGGATCGTCCATTCGGATTTCGATAGAGTTCATTTGTTGAAGCCTTCCTATCCATTGGAACCCTATGATGTTCAACGGTATTTTCTTTCCCACTGCAAATGGAATTTTCTCCTCCTCTCTTTCTATTTTTACCAACGAGTCGACTTTGGATTCCCCTCCGACTCCGGTCAAGTATCCCTCCAATGGTTTCCTATTTTTCCATTCCTCGGGATAGTGTCTTTGCGCTGTTTCTAATTTCATTAGGTTTGGTATGGACCCTGTATCTGCTAAAAAGGTGGCTCCGGTTCTTCTATCTATTAAAAACATTAGTTCTCCTCCGAATACGTTTTTTAACTTCAAGGTCTCACTTCCGACTTCTATGAGATCTGTGAAAACTGGTAAAAATGATTCCGATATACTATTTACATATTTACAAGGTAATATTTCCTTTGAGAGTTGAATGGTCGGGTCACTCAACCCTCGTACTCTTCCTCCGCCAGGGAAAGAGCAGACACAAGGTCATGTTCTGTCCATCCTGGAGCTGCAAAGGTAGCCGATCTGCTTCTTTCATCCGGTTCCCCTCTTTTTCCTATTGGTGGCATCCAATTCGGGCGATCCGAGGTTCGTTGTGGTCTTTTCCCATAGTATTCATCACACGAGGTGATTCTCTCTTGCAACGTCGGCGAATTCTGGGATCGAAAATAATCATCCAGTTCTTCTGTCGTCGATATCTTGCGCCTCAGTACATTGTTTCCATTCATGAATGAAGACCACTTATCCCGAATAGCTCGTAGAACGCTCTCCGGTTGTTCTCTCAATCTCGGCATGATTATGCCGTCTCGCACTATCGGCTCGTTCATTCTTAATATAGCCCCTGCTATGCAATCTCGACTTAAGTGCCCAGGTGATTTGCAAGTGAAGCATACAGTAAAAGCTTGGCCAGTCTGTGGTGTTAAGTATAGGCCTAGAGGTGCATAGATATTTGGGTTTCCCCAAAATTCATATTTTTTACCTTCTTGTTGGCTGATTCTCCGTGCGTCTTCCGTATTCCGCGGTACGGGGCGCGGGGGCAGACTCTCCGCCCTAGGCGAACGGCTAGGGGTCGTATTTCTTTGTCCCGCGCCTACTTCTCGTGGTGTCGATCTTGGTCGCCTAGCATTTTCTACTCCTTCTGCCGGCCGCGGCGGTCTGTTGTTCACCCTTTCTTGAAGCCTTTGCGGAGGTACCCTCCTGTCATCCCTTACAGGGTATCTTCTGTTTTAGCTATCATTCAGTGGTCTTGGCATTTGTGATCCAACCTCAAGTTGGTCAGTTTGATGCATCGCCGGATAGGTTACGGTCTTGGGCACCTGGTTTATTACAAACACGGGCGGGGTCCTTTCTCGTCCCCACTTCTTGCGATCATCGGTCGTTACATCCGCGACTTTTCGATCCATCGTTTCTGAGTTCCAATATGTTTGTAACTGTGTCGTTACTTCGGCCCAAGTCAGTCTCTCCGCATCTTGAAGTATGAATTTTAACGCACTCGGCAGTCTGTTCCTTAGTACTTGAAAGAACCTTCTTCCATCTGTATTTGCCGCCACTACGCTATTTTTGCTTACATCCATTTCCTGTAGCGCCTTTGTTATGATCGTCCATGGTTTCTGGGTTGCCCAATTATAGGTTCTTCCTACTTCATTGATTACCAAATCATTGTTGGCTAATCCCTGGGGATTCGTTATCGCTAACGATGTCATAATATCTTCCCAATTAGGCTCAGGGTCGAAGAACGTCAAGGCGATTTGCTCTGCGTCCTTGTTTCGGTTTGCCTCTTTTAATTTCGTTTGCAATGCATTAGCCAAAATTACGTCTGCTGCCAAATTTCCTTCCCCATGGGGAATTCTTTGCATGCTTTTAGTCATCCATCTCAGTAAATTTTGGTTTCCCGGAGGAGGCATTAATTGTAGCATCTCAGACATTTTCATCGCTGGTTGCCCTGGCTCAAGCTCTTCATCTGGTCTCGGGACGATGATTTGTGGATTATCAATTTCTATTGACCTTAACTCTTGCCCTTCTCCCCGAATATAATTTTCGTTTTCGTGTGCTCTCGTCTGATTCAATTCTTTCTGTTGTCTTGACTGGGGGGTCGAGATGAGTGGACGCGGGATTAAGGTTGACTTTTAATAAGGCGTTACATTTTTGACTCCCGGGAAAAATCCCGTCAACATTCCATTTTTTATCCTATCGTCAGTGACCGCGTCT